TCTGATATAACTGACCACGGCTGTTTCCTCCTGCGCAAGAGACAGCGCCCTCAGTGTTAAAAAATGGTTAGCCAAAATTGGGTTGCGCAGAGCTCGGCTTACTTACGAGGGTGTTTGTTGCACCTCATTGTTTTCCAATACTTTAAGGGACGGAGGGGTCACATGCAAATGATTGTCTTTGTGGGTTTTACAATTGTCCAGTTAGAAATTAGGACATGATTACAAATCTGTGTGTGCGATGCCGTACATTGAATGCTATTATAAACTGGCGATCTTTGTAATCGCCAGTTGGTTGGTCATATTTATAGTTAGTTCGGCGCAAATAATCATGACTTGTGTATGGTTACTTTATTTCTATTATAATGTAACAAGAGCAATTCTGTAATATACCTGTACATAGTTGATTTCTTTCATCCAAAATGTTCTCTTAGCAGTTACCTTTTTGTGTGATGTTGCGGTGACTGTGTCCGTTCCTAGCTTCCTCAGTGTCGCAAACTGTGGGCTTTGGGTTGAAAATTTGCTTGGCATGCAACACGCCAGTTGCGCCAAAAAAATGACAATGACAGGTCTTCCAATTACGAGAGAGAAACTTTTGGCAAACGCATAACATTTAATATCCAACTTTCATGCCGAATTTTAACCACTCTTATTAAATTGAGACCGATATGGTCCATAATAAAATTAATAACTCATCATCGAAATGTATCGTGTAAAAAATGTTGATTTCAAATTCTCACATTTCTATGGATATTTGTATGTTACAGGGGTAGTTTCCAGCAGCATCCATTCATCAAGAACATAAGATTCTTAATAAAGCCTCAAAATTAACTGTGCTGTTTGATGACATCAGTTAAAAATGTGCAGTGTAGTGAATACTGATGTAGATGTAATTTACACAGAATATGCCAAAAGCCGTGACTTGAAGCTTTGCATGGTGGATGAGATAAAGTAGAAAGATTGTGGGTAACACCATGTGGAAAGTAATCTCTTCTTGGAAGTAGTGCGAGCTCTGTCAGTCCTCATGAGACTCACCCTCCCGAAAATGGACAGAGCACACTGTCTGAAACATCGAGTTCTACACTCAACCATCCGGTTTTTTTTAAGAACCACACTTCTTCCAAGAAGAGATTACTTTGCAAATGGTGTTACCCGGAATCTTTCTACTTTATTAGAGTGCTGTTTAAAGTTGACGATCTTGGACACTATATTACACAATAGGTAGCACTGTTGCAGCATATTTGCCAACAGATACGATTTTGCTGACAAAAAGGACTAAAAATCGAGTTGTGAATCCTGCCGCACCAGTGCATTGCATTCGGGCATGCAAGAAACAACATTTGTATATACATGTACATGTAACGGCGGTGCCGGGCCGCCGGCAGAGGGCGCCAGCAGGGACCCACGGTGCAACCGTAGCGTTGGGACCCCTGCTGCTGGGCCAGGGAGACCCGTTGCCGGACTGCGCCGACTCAGTAGTGTGACTTTTGTATAGCGTTCCTTTTTGTTGTGAGTTGTATAAAGAGAGAGCCTCGTGTAAAGAAAGTGGAAAGAAGAAATGGCCGGAGAGCCCCGAAACCCTGAAGAATGGTGTCTGTTGTTTCCTTCGTCTGGCGTGTGAGAACCCCAGATTCGTTCTACGTTACAATATTGGTGCTGTGTGTATTATGTGATACGCACACAACGTGTATTGAATGGACACAGCTGGAAATACGTATGCGAATGTAACAAAATGGCAGCAGCATATGATGTAATCAACTGGGTTTTGTTCGTCTTTTCTCAGGAACTATAAGACATTTAGTTCTTTTCTTTTCAACTAGACATTTGGAATAGGATAGTAAATCCAAAACATGACATTTTTAGGGATTTCAGGTTGTAATGCCCAGTGGTGTATCCAGCTTTTGATGTCAGGGGGGGGGGGGGGCACCGCACTCGCACATCTGCCGAAATGTGGACATGTTTGAGGGGGAGGGGGCTGGTACCCATCTCCAAATGGGGGGGGGGGGCTCTTCAAAACTTACCTTTATTATGCATACTGCAAAATACAGGGTGAGTTAAAAAAAAAAAAAATGTCGGGACCATTGCTTTAGTGAAGTTCTGCATGTAGTTCTTTCAAAATCTAGGATATGAAAGTCCAATTAATAAGCTTTCTTTTAGTACAAGAATCACTCAAATCACTCATGTACTGTTCAAGTTACGGAATTTCAAGCACAACCACCGTTTTGAAGTTCTGTCCACGGATGACAAGAAGGTACGTGTTTTTTACAGCAAAACGAAAACAAATCACATAGGGATGTGTGTGAATTGTTTTCATTTTGCTGAAAGAACGCACACTTTTTTTGTGATCCGTGATGGACTAGAACTTTAAAACGGTTGTTGTGTTTAAGATTCCGTAAATTGAAAAGTACATGAGTGATTTGAATGATTCTTGTACTAAAAGAAAGCTTATGAATTGGGCTCCCGTATCTTACATTTTGAAAGTGCAACATGCAGAAAGTCAATGAAACAATAGTCCCGACATTCAGGTTTTGCTTTTTTTGACTCACCCTGTATGCCTATTTCAACGGCGCATTGTAATGGTTTTTGACCCATGGATTTCTTTTTTCTTAATGTCAGAACTCTCTAACCATTTATGGAAATAGTTACTGGGAAAAAAATATCCTCCACAAAAATCCGCCAGGGGGACATTGCCCCCCCCCCCCCCCCACCTTACCAACCTCTGGATGCGCCACTGGTAAAGCCCCTTTTAGCAAAACCACAAAACAAGAGTGTACAGAATGCAAATATTCCAGTTTACCTTTTTGAGATTATGTAGGACACAACAGGAGGTCACATGTGTTTGATTTAGGTGTAAAATCTGATTTAGGTGTAAAATCTTTTGTATAACGGGCGGGTACCTGCGGACCCTTGATTATTGCCAAGGGCTCACTTCCCCTGCGTTGGGCAACTAAAAATTGCACGGCCCTAGTACATGTAAATACTAGTACAACTTAAACTACATTCCTTTATATTTGTTAAGAGACTCGGTGAATACAATTGTAAGTGTGAAATAAAATAAACTATAGTAAACCTGAGGTTGAGTCATTACTGTGGCAAAGTTAGTGATGTTCACCGATGTTTACATGAAGTTCGTTGAGTAGCCATCAGTCAGCGAACGGCCTACACACTGTGTACACGCATCACAGCTAGCAACGGTGCATAATGGCTGGCTGCGCCATCGCCGAACAAGCATAGCTAGCTCAGCCCTCGCACGCGCAGGCCGGCCTATGGTAAGTTGCACGTGCAAATGGTGCCATGCTATGATGCTTTGTCATTCAGCGCATGCATGCTTCACGCAAGTTGCCTGCCGTGTAGCACTTGGTACATGGGTTGTGATTCTTTTTCGGTTCTTTTCGTTGATTCATCCGCCATCTAGACATCTGGAAATTGTCAGTAAATGGACTCAAAAGATGTTTTACTCCGATTTTTTTCAAACAATTTATAGGCAAGTAATCAATAGAAAAGCGTGCTTGCCTTTCTGAATTGTGACGAAATTTACAAAGGCAGTTTCGGGTAATAAAATCGATACAATGGAATCGGGTACCCGTAATCATCAGTCGGGTTACGGGTACCTGGGTACCCGTCATGGCCTTACTTTTGTGTATCATTTCTCAAAAAAGGCTCCTGTAAAATCACAGTTATAACCAACTGCACAACATGAGAGCAAAACAAAACAGTTAACTTGTCACACAGTTATTTGTGAGGGCAGGACAAATTCAAAGTCTGCTTCTACAATTCACACAGTCAAATCACTTTTCAGATGCTTCATTTATTTGATCATGGACTCCGATCCCCACACCACTCTATTACATAAAGAGAGTCCGGAGGACTCAAACTTATTGCTACCATACGCTTGCCACAAAAGGATGACACAGGTTTGAGTATTTCCCATAGAGCTATATTAAATTACTAGAGCGCTAACTTCGTGTACAAAGTAATGCCTGCTGGGCGCATCCATGTTGGTGCACAAACCTATATATGGAGACCTAGAAATTTTGTACGGCTTTTGTACGGCTATTTGCATATCTGCGTTTGTATTCCATACCGGTTTCTTATCGAAGCCAATACGCCCAAAACCGAAATGCACGATCAGCAAATAAGCGTGTCATTTTGCTCTACGCAAACAGCGCAACGCGTGCACGTATTCAGTGCAGATGCTTTTGCCGTCACGTTTTTTTAACCGTCAATGACGCGCTTAAGTTGTTTGCGTGTGTTCTACTTGCGCGTTGCATGTAGAGTACACTATCAAAATTCAATCCATCTAATTTTATTATGTTCTACAAACATGCACATGAATTCAAAATGTCTGCACCCAGGACAGCTTCAAAGCGTCTCCGTGCACAGAATGGCGAGTTAGCGCTCTAGTAATTTAATATAGCTCTATGGTATTTCCAGAATAAATTAACTCCGTGTTCTTTGCGCAATTGACCTATCGCCGTTTGCGAGTTAGCCACGCCCCTAAGACAACCCTATGGAACTTTTGTACACTAAGTTTTGTTTGTCCCAGATTTTGTGCGTTCCACGTCCATTTGTATATCACGAAATTGGACAATATTTCACAAGCTGCGTTGACGGGATTCTAACGCGATTCTACCGCGATAGGTCAATATGAGCACCAATCCATTCTGCTCGGAAAGTGTCCCTGCCAAGGAGCTCTGACAAGTGATCAGAAAGCAACATCTACTTTTCATACAAGGAGTTCATACCAAAGAGTACTACTTGAGCGCTGTGGTCCAATGGTTAGTGTTTGACTCATGTGCCATGGTACGTGGTTTGAACCCTGACGGGGAACATGGTGCTTGTGTCCTTTTGCAAGACACTTTATCACAATTGCCTCTTTCAACCCAGGAGTATAAACGGGTACCTGTGAAGGGAGAGACCAGAAAGCGCTGATCTTGATCTGCTGCAAAAACTGGTCTCATGGCCTGATGAACAGGGTAATAATTGTGAAGCACTTTGAGACCTTTGGTATAATGCGCTATATAAGCACCACATTTTTATTATCATGACTACAGATCTAGAGTCTCAAGCTGCATTCAGGTAAACCTCTGATTTGCTTGCGCCACGACGAAACCGTCGGCATCAAGCACTAGAGTCATACTCAGGTCACAAGACTGAGAAATGTGTGATTATCGTGGAACAATCAGCATCTCGTCACATTTATAATCGCAACAAGATCACGTCACCCACGACGCGACGACGATTTGGCGGCATAGATGTGATCATGTGACATCTTCAAAATGGTGGTGCGCGCGTTGATAACAATCTTCCACAGCTACATCTATCCATTCAGCCGCCATGATTGTTATAAAACTAGGCGTTTGCCGCACACTGATGGGCAACACAATGAAGTAAGACGACCTGGCGTGATGGGCCACATTGGCTCATGGCAGACTTCAGTGCAGGTCAGCAGTATTAACACAATGAAGTAAGATGATCTGGATGCGCGCACGACGTCGTAACTTCACACAGGTCGACTGCGATTGATTCGTGCCTGTCAGGAACACAATCTGTCATGGCGCAGACGTTAAAATTTTCTACTCTTGCGACTGTTGATTTTTTTTCAGTGTGTTCCAACTGATGATCATGTTAATATCGTCGCAGTTTATACACTCAGGTTGCAAAAATCAGCAACTGATATGTTCCCACTGGTCGTAGCTCAGGCGCAGCTCGATCCTGAGAAGTTAGTCACCGACTGTTCTGTGTCGTCGCAAGGTCGAACTCGGGGTGGCATTATCCAACTGATTTTTAATCATGCATGCTGTTTCACATTGGGGGTGTGTGGCCTAGTGGTTAGGGTTCGTGACTCATGATCAGAGGGTCAGCTGCTGGCCATACATTGTGTCCTTTGGCAAGCCACTCCACCCAAACTTGCCCTCTCCACCCAGAACACAAATGGGTACCAGCATTAGCTGAGGAGAACCTGCGATGGACTAGCATCCCATCCAGGGGGAGTAGAAATATTCTCAGTTGTTTCATGCCAAGGAAACCGGAGATAAACGCCGGCCTGATGGGCCATATTGGCTCGTGACAGACTTTACTCAATATTTCACATTGGAGTGCAGGTCAACAGTATTACGTTCCATTATTCATAAAGAGTTATGAGCTCCTCTGGTTGAGTCAATGATGAGACTATGGCTGTGTCTAAATGATCCGGCTATGGCTTGAAATTACACACGTGCATAGCTGCCAACTTTTCAAAATCCCAATTAGTAATCAACCCGCGCGGTCATTTTCAACTGCTCGTTTTATCAAAAGCTTTACCAACATCGAGTACAGATACATGGTTTACATGTACACATACATGTGCATACCCTTCTTGTTGTGAATAATAATGTACTGTAGGCCAAAAGATAATTTAAAAAAAAAAAAAAAAAATTTAAATTTTTTTTTTTTTTTTTTAAATTAATTTTGTTTCAATGTCTGTATTTGTTTGTTGAAGTCAAATAAATAATAACAATAATAACGTGCGCATATTTTTTTTTGAGATGCATGCTATCGATGTGGAGTTTCGAGTTCGTATCAATGTTTTTACACACGTTGATTTAGGGCCACCGTATGCAATAGAAATATCCCGTCAACATACCTTGCAAACGCATGCTGATTTATCTTTTCTGGACGTTGTGACAAACTCAAACTCTATTACCAATTATTCCAACCATAATCTTATTAAATTCCATGATTAAAATCTCGCACTGATAGACTCATCCCAGCAAAAAGCGACCAAATGTGCTCACGATCGTCACTAAAAAGTACTCACAATTCACATACAGTACACACAACCACACATCCACGAGATGCAGCACACAAATGACACACCATTGAAAAATAGTTTTAGTCTGGTCCTCAAGTACTCCACTGCGCACACTGCATTGATGTCTATCAGGTGCTTGACTGCATTCTTATTAGACTTGTCACCAGTCCATCCATTATCGCGACATTTCGCCAGAAGTTTTCGGTCAAAAACGATACTTTTATACAAGTATTTTTTTTTTCGTTAGGTAGAAAATGGGAAATTCGTAATGTTTTAGTGGCATATCGTATTTTCGTAATTTAACAAACAATTCGTAATAATTACGAAAAATTCGTAACAGTTGGCAGCTATGCACGTGTCTATGGAGATGGCTGCAGCCACTTCTCATAGCCATGTGTGTTACTGCTAGCCAGTAGCCGCAGCCAGGTATTTCGGCTGCCTTAATGATGTTGTTCAATTTAAGGATGTTATCGTCATCAGTAGTGGATTTACTTGGTGCTACCTTTCAGCTTCAGGATCCATCCTAAGAATTCAAAGAAAAAAATTCTGAATACTGGGGAAAAAAAAGCTTACTTGGTTTAAAGATAGTGATGGTGCTAATCTCCCTTTGAAAGCATTCTTTCTGGCATGCTGTCATTTTGAAGAAAACAATGAAAGAAGGCTCTTTCAAAAGATGCGTCAAGTGACTCATTTTTGGACATTTCCATCAGTAGTTGGTTTGTAATTGGGGGAATCTGTGAATGGGTGTGCGCAAGCTTTGACACGTCGCACACGCACGCCGTTGCTATTATTCCTCAGTTTAGTGCTTGACATCAGGTAGCTGTAATCGACTGGATGAGGACATGTCCCAGACACTGATTTCGGGTGCAATTCAAAACATGACCTCGAAAAAAATGTATCGACGCATACATGTACAAAATGTTCTCAATTTTTACAATTCATTGTCAAATTTTAGACAAATCCCAATCAGTGCATTCAATTTAGGCTGGTGCCAGTCTTGTTGTACGATCTTGCTGCGTCATGTTGGTTCCCATCATGTCATGCGCAATCTTAACCATAGTATTTTGCAATTTTAATCTCCCACCATTTGGTAGATATAAATTACGACTGCAGTTGATGCGTTTAATGCACACCGTAGTGCTTTCAATTTCGAAGAATCCATTTTTTTTAGAATCAAGTCATTCGAAGATGAGATTGCGATGTCGCGTTGCTAGAATTTATAATGCAAGTACATCTATCGTCCCTTTTACAACACAAGATACAGGTATTTTTGGTAAAACATGAGGCTTGCAGACTTTCCATTGTAGAGGCATCGTGCAGTCTTGAAAAGAAGTTTTGGACTTGACGTGATGTGCAGGAGATAACGCGAGGACACTTAGGGCGTGCCACCTTTCGAAATATGCACACAGTACACTCTGAATAGTCAATCAGCTTGGTTTGGGTATTCTACACGACCAGGGGTTGGTGAAGGAATGCACATGCAGCCCCTGGAGGCAAAGTTGAGCTGTGCCCGAAATGTAAAATTTGATTGGCGCATTGCAATTATTCAATGGAATCAAGTTTGAATAATCTAATAATAAATAATTTGAAAATGCGCAGCGCTAGATATTTTTGAAACATACATTCAGAGGCATTACAATTTATATAAAATAAGGGTTTACTCACGGGTACCAAAGCCGGGGGAACGTTGCTCGGTCTTCCTCACTGTACTCCGGCAGGGATTTCGGCACCTCCCTGGGGGGTTTGATCTGCTCACATATATTGGCTCGGATATCATCCGGTATATTCTGAAGATGTAAAATTAGGATATATCGTGTTTTTTAAATTGCGGTTTTTCTAGCAAACCAAAAGTCATTTATTTGTTTTAACCCCAACTCCCTAGGCCTTTTTGCTAGGATGTAGCTTCAATTCTGCAAAATCCTCCAATTGGCCTCATGGAAAATAGCATATAGCCTCAATCCTGCAAATTCCTCCATTATTTCTTGAATGTGGTCCGTGGAGGGGTGACCACTGCCTAAATCCAGCAAAATCCTGCCGCAGTGACTGTCAATATGTTGAGGCTTGGCCAGTGACATCCTGGAGCAGTACGGAGGATTTCAAGCATAATCCAGGCCTATTTTTATGCACGGCTGAGCAAAAACAACACAAGGTCCGGCCCAAGACCTTGACAAAGTGCATCCTACGAAATCAGTAAAGCACTTTTGCCATGTAACCTCAATCCTCCAAATTCCTCCACTTTGGCAAAAAGTATTTAGAAGGATTCAGGGCGGTTAGGGTTAATGAGGCATTGACTAAAGCATTCATTCCATTTTTAGTTATGAAAAATTACTTTTGAATTTTGAAATATTTGCCGGTTAAAAATAGCTCAGCTCTTACAGGGTAGACTAGTTCCCGACTCCCTTTAAACGTGCATTTCCCATGCTATTTTCGAGTTTCATCCCGGAAAATATATTCCTTTTATAAATTGCTGCTTTTAAGCAAGACAAAATTATTCACTTTTGAATGAGACATCTACCGAAACAATCGGCCCATGTTCAGTTATTGAATTATTAGGCCTACTTTACAATTTCAAACTTTTGACTGCAAAACAATAATTCAGTGTTGATAATATCAGTATTGATAATGTACAGACCCGGAGCAAAGCGGATCTGTTTGCGCCTAAAATTAAACATTTTTTTACGGATTTGCAGACGTCAAAAAACGGGGGAAAAGAGGGGTTTTTGGTTGGAATATTAAAATACATGTTCAAGCTGAAAAAAATTATTAATAAAAAAAGTAACGCAAGGGAACGCAACTTTAAGAAATGAATAATTTGGGACCAGAAACCATTCTTCTCACAGGCAAATCTATTTGTTCACAAAAACAACCAAGATATGATCCTTTTCAAGGGGTTGCAGACGCCAAAACCGAATATCAAAATGTAAAGAAAATTAATTAAAATATAACTACCTCATCAGGGAACAGGTGAAGTCTCTGCATCATCTGGTGACGTCTTAAGTCTTTAGGGAGCATTCCGTAAATGGCCTTCTTGACAATCTAGTAAAGTAAAGGGAACAATTTCAATCAATTGCATGTACATCACATGACAAGTCCATGACAAGTCCATGACAAGTCAGTCACAAGTAAATCACATGTTGATCACAAGTCAATCACAAGTCAAGTCAATCACCAGTCTAGTCAATCACAATCAATCACAAGTCAATCAAAAGTCCATCACAAGTCCATCACAAGTCAATCACCAGTCCATCGCAAGTCAATCACAAGTCAATCACAAGTCAATCACAAGTCCATCACAAGTCCATCACAAGTCCATCACAAGTCCATCACAAGTCCATCACAAGTCCATCACAAGTCAATCACAAGTCCATCACAAGTCCATCACAAGTCAATCACAAGTCAATCACAAGTCAATCACAAGTCAGTCACAAGTCAATCACAAGTCAATCACAAGTCAATCACAAGTCAATCACAAGTCCATCACAAGTCAATCACAAGTCAATCACAAGTCCATCACAAGTCCATCACAAGTCCATCACAAGTCCATCACAAGTAAATCACTGGTCTATCACAAGTCAATCACAAGTCAATCACCAGTCAATCACAAGTCAATCACAAGTCAATCACAAGTCAGTCACAAGTCAATCACAAGTCAATCACAAGTCAATCTCAAATCAATCACAAGTCAATCTCAAGTCAATCTCAAGTCAATCACAAGTCAATCACAAGTCAATAACAAGTCAATCACAAGTCTATCTCCAGTCATCCAGTCCCAACTTACTTCACAAGCTTTTCAAATGAACTGTGAAAAACTTCGTTTCTTTCTTAGTGTTCATCCCCTGTTATTTGTGACTAGACTTGATATTGACTTGCTACCTGGAAACAAAAGGAGAAATAAATACTTACTACAGTAGAGTCTTTCTCATGCATACGGAATGCGGGTGTCTCACTGTAGCCACCAGGATATCTGAAAGAAAATGGGGTGTATTTGTGTCTTCAAATGGTTTTGTAATAACTTCCCTACAAAATTTATCGAACTGTTCCCCTTTCAGCTGAAATATGCACCTATTTTCATTATTAAGCTCAACTCCCTAGGCATTTTTTGCTAGGATACAGCATCAATCCTGCAAAATCCTCCGGCAATCACTGTCAATATGTTGAGGCTGAGCCAGTGACATCCTGGAGCAGTGTGGAGGATTTCAATTATAATCTAGGCCTAAAAACTCCAAAAACCAGCCGCACATTTTGCCATATAACCTCAATCCTGCAAAATCCTCTATTTTTCAAAGAGGATTTGGGAAGGTTAGGGTTAACCCTCCTATGGTAACATGCATTGTCTGCCTGCTTATTACTTAGGTCAATATTGGTCAAGACCCCCATTGGTTTGTACACAGTAGGCCAGGAGGTGAGGAAGAAAATGTTGACCATTGGTGACCTCTTAAGCAAAGGGAGGGTTAAATAAAATAACCATCAAAAAAAACCTTCAAACATCAATGCTCAAATTGTGTTGAATAAGAGTTTTTGTTTGACAAAGAATTGAATACAAATCCCTTTTCCTAGAAATATTTCCAAAGAAAGATTCGGCATTAAAAAGATAGAAGAAAGAAAAGAGAGCTCCCCCTAGCGCGGCAAATGATGCCCACCCATCCCCCCTTTTCACATTGCAGTAGTAGGCCAGTCCGTCAGTACTTGCAATGAGAAATTGATGGTGGCCCTCTGTCCTCCACCCTCAAAAACCCCCGTCTCTCCCCCCCCCCCCCTCCCCATGCCCCGTCCCAATCCCACCAAAATGGTTCTAGATCTGCCAGTGACCCTGCACCATACTAGACCAATCACTTACCCTGTGTGATGTTTATATATCTTGGTTCTCCATTTGTTCTGGCTGAACGCTATTTGGTGAGTGTTGATCACAACAACGTGGTCCCCAACATCACCTGGTGTAAATCAAAGGAGACAGAAATCTAAACTATAACACGGACCAATATTAACCCTAACCTCCCTGAATCATTCTAAATCCTCTTTGCCAAAGTGGAGGTATTTGGAGGATTGAGGTTACATGGCAAAAGGGCATTACTGATTTCGTAGATGCACTTTGTCACGGTCTTGGGCCGGACCTTGTGTTGTTTTTGCTCAGCCATGCATAAATATAGGCCTGGATTACGCTTGAAATCCTCCGTACTGCTCCAGGATGTCACTGGCCAAGCCTCAACATACTGACGGTCACTGCTGCAGGATTTTGCAGGATTCAGGCAGTGGTCACCCCTCCACAGACCATATTTAAGAAATAATGGAGGAATTTGCGGGATTGAGGCTATATGCTATTTTTCATGAGGCCAATTGGAGGATTTTGCAGGATTGAGGCTACATCCTAGCAAAAAGGCCTAGGGAGTTAGGGTAAATGTGCATGTGGCATTCTTTGGTGTCCATCTTAAAGCCTTCGGCACCCGATGAAGCTCATCGTAAATTACGTTACGGCGCAGCACTACGATGCATCCTATCCCTACGATGCGTCCTGCGATTCGTTTCACAAAACACATCGTAAATGCTTCCACTTACACATATCTTAAAAAATAGTATAACAATTGTAGAATAAAAGTGGGTTTAAGGGAAAAACAACTGGCATCTTCCATTTTCACAAATGCAAACCTCGAAATTTAATTTTAAAATTGGTATGTTACTTTTCTGACATGTCAATAAATGCCAACTTTAAACAGCTATAACTTGTCAACGGAAGGTCTAATTGAAGTGCAACAAAGAGTATTGTAAGGAGAATTTTATTCTCTTTACTAACACCTGCAAACCCTCATTTCGACCACTGCCCACTTCCATTTTGCCAGAACGCTTCACAAATCAGATGAGCATCCCTACTTACTGAGAGGGTGGTAGATAGGTTTATGTTTTCCTTGGAGTAACGGGATGACGGCTCTCGCTATCCGGCCTGGCGGTTGTTTAGCAGCATCTAACAGATACCACATCCTGGCAAACACAGCCCATTGCTACAAACATAAAGAAATTGTCAAGCTTAAAGGGAATATACAACATTTGCAAACATCAAAAAACAAAACTCCAAGTTATTATGAAATACCTTACTTGACTGTAAGTGAATAAAAAATCTCAAGAAACCTGTGAAATCATGGCACCTGGTGTGCTGTCATTTTCAAGAAAAGTGGATTTTTTGGGACCAATTTCCAACGATGGTCAGTAGACCATCATTGGAAAAAAAAAACTGACTTTTCTAAATAGGCGGAAAAAATGTTGTAACCTTCCTAACAAAATTTTCCTAACAAAATTGGAAGATTTCTCAGTCCCAGATTCGGCCCAATTGCAGAATACCCCGCCACTCAATCTATCCACCGCGTAGCCAGCTACAGAGTCACGGTTGATTGCCCTTAATAAACCTTCTCAGCGCTACTTGTATGTACTATGCGTCATGCTCCACTGCTCTCCCACTCCATATCCGCGTAGCCGCCAACAGGGTAGTTGGTTTGGACTTAGAATTTTTTTCAGCAACTCCCATTCCTTTTGTGTTGCTTCGTTCTCAAGCATATTCAAGGGGACTCCCACTCCGTATCTGCGCAGTCGGCAACAGGGTGGTTGGTTTGGACTTAACATTTTTTAAGCAACTCCCATTCCTTTTGTGTTGCTTCATTCTCAAATAATGGACCCCCACTCAGCATGCTCAGCATCCGCGTAGCTGGCAATGGACTTGAATTGTTTCTTTTCCAGTGATTCCAACCGTGTAGCCATGGTAGCCAGAGATTTTAGGGGTGTATTTCGGAGTGGCGGGATATTCTGCAATTACTCCCCAGATTCATGTCTTTTCATCATTTTTGCAAGGAATTCACTATAGTGAGATGATAATCCCAATCCATCCATTTCTGAAATTCCAGCCTTTTTTTATAGGCAGTGGATATTTTGCCGGAGACGGCAAATCCTTAGTAAACGTTAGTTTGCCGGATATGCACTGAACATGCGCAGTTACTATTTTTTTTTTTACTTAAACATTTTCCGGTGATAAATTTTAGTCAGGTTCCATGCCAATATTACGTTGTAACCTCGTATTCACAAGATGGGATTCAGACCATTTTATAATTTCGGACTTTATTTCCCTTTTAAAACAAATCCTCCAGAGCTGCAGAGCCACAAATCTGAAAAAGAAAATGTAATTCTCTGCAATAAAATGTTTGAGACATGTTAAAATAATAAAAGAAGCATATTCTTATTTATTTGGGGATGGGAAATTTTTTTTTTAAAATGTGTCGGGGATCGGGATCGAACCTGAGTCATCCCGCTCACTAGAGGCTTAACCACTACACCAAACGTGCTACACAACTTTCGGTGGGAATTTAATACATCGTATAATTCAGCCCTATCTTAAAGAGTACAGCGCCCTCTGTTGATATGGATTGCCGCCGGCAAACCTTTAGTAAACGTTAGTTTGCCGTCATTACCTCCGGCAAAATATCCACTATATCTTTTTGATACAAGTTACAACCAGCATGACCAGAGTAAAACTAAAAGAACCTGCGTCAGGATAGGTTTAGTTTTTCCATTTTTTCCACCTGCTTTTTTCTTTTCCAGACCAATAATATCATCCTCATACTAGTATGGAAGTAAAAATTTCCCAAACACAATACCTGAGATATTTTGCTTGACATCCTTCTCAAGAGACAAGATCGGCCTATTTCATCAAAATTTAGTACAAACGTGCTCTACTCATTTGCGCAGCGCCCTCTATCGTCTACATTTTGTGTTTATCTTTTTTGGTTACCTATCACATAGACGCTGGCGGCGCTGTTTCGATTTAACAGATTGATTTTTTACACAAGAAAAACATGGCGACTCCTTGGCCGATGCAGGTAAAATTTTCTGTGTTTTGACTCGACCCATTATGGAGAAATATTTCAATGAGCGTTTACAGATTAAGCCAAAAATAGAGCAACTTCAATGATGTAGATATTAAGGCGATCGTGTATCTACGGGCCCGGGCCGGTTCCGGAAAAAAATGCAACCTGACCCCACTTTCGCGATTGCATGATTGTGTACAAAGTCTATGGGGAGTCAAGAACATTTTCTAATCGCCTAGCCCTACACTGTGTTGAAGTACAAAAAAACAGTAACTGCGCATGTTCAGTTCATATCCGGCAAACTAATGTTTACTAAAGGTTTGCCGTCCCCGGCAAAATATACACTGCCTTAATTTAAAGTCAAAAATGTTTTTTATTGCTCAAAAATCACCTGGCTTTACAATCAAAAGCAGACTTTTCTCAATTCTAATGACACTCGTTTTGCAATTTTGAATAGATTCTTGGGGTAGAAATCACGATTTTCCTGCGCGGTTTGTGCCTTACGATTCAGCACGCTGTGCGTGCTCATATCGCGCGGTGATTGCCATCTTTCTTTTCTGGTACTAGCGTGTTGTCGCCGTGCTGTCATCGTCATTTTACCCCCAAGTTTTCTCAAAAATCAAAACCTTGCCCTCTATCTATGACATACCTGTTTACTAAGAATGTCGCCAACTAGTTTGGTAGGTCCAATAATTTTAAAGTGGATTTTGTTCCCTAAGTTAAAAGTTATAGGAACCGGGCCCTACACTACACGATCGCCGATGATTCAATATATGAAGAAAAAGGTGGCGTCTGGTTGCAGCATTTTTTCCGGCAAAAAGAATACCCGATGTCTGGTTGTTGCTAGATAGATGCGGGCACATTTTGGAATAACTGCATGATGACTTGGAAGCACCAAAGCTTTCATTGATGATGCGTACACAGCAACGCTTGTAAAAATAAATGTGAAAAGCCTATGAAGAGTAAAGAAAATTTCTTAACAAAATTGGAAATGTTTCTCAGTCTTAGATTCATGTCTTATCATCATTTTTGCAACTACTGACCTTCATTGAGATGATTTAATGAAAAAAGCAGCGTCAGCCCTCCAAAAAGTTTGTACTTGAATTATCAGAACCATTGTATTTTCCAATGTTTTCTATTTGTCATGTAGAAACGGCTTCAGAATGAACTTCTTCATCTGCAACGAGACCCACCTGTAGGTATCAGCGTCAACCCCAATAGTGCATCCAGTACACTCACCTTGTAAGTATAGTGAAATGTTTACATCGTGGAGTTCCATAAATAGACATATTACAATGAATTTTCAAGTAAACTACAAAACGAAACAGTGGTTTATTTGAAAATTTGTAATCAAAAGCTGGTTCATCTCTGAGTGATCCCGTTTGCTATTTTCCAGGTTTGCGGCATTGCTAATGTTGCTAGCACCGTGACTTTGGCGTAATCCCTGGCTACATGGCATATAGAGGTTTTACAGCTTCTGACTAGCGCCCCTTGAACAAAGACATTGACAAAATGGGGAACCGCCAACATAGGGCTGGATAGCTCAGTTGGTAGAGCACCGGAACGGCAATCCAGAGGTCGCAAGTTAAACCCTGCTTCAGTCAACTTCTTTGTTCAACTCTTAAAAATGTTAAAATGAACTGAGACAAAGACATTCTGGTAATGAAAATAAGGATTTGTCAGATATACCCCTGACACTGACTGTAGAATGCAAGCTGAAGAAATCTTGAGAAAAGTCAACTGAGAAAGTTATAAAGACGGGAGGAAACTTACTTTTTTACTTGGGCGGGGTTCGAACCTGGACCTTTGAAATGGAAGGCTAGCAAAGTATCACTGCACCAACCTATCTTGTTTTGTTGTTGTGACCTTAATTGTGATTTGACTTGTGATTGACATGTGATTGGCACTTGGTGGACATGTGATTGGCATATGATGGACATATGATTGACATGTGATTGGCACATGATGGACATATATAATCGACATGTGATGGCCATATGATTGACATATGATTGACATGTGATTGGCATGTGAACTTGCATGTGATGGACATATAATTGGCATAGGCCGGATGGACATATGATTGGCATGTGATTGATATGTGATGGACATGTGATTAGCATGTGATAAGCATGTGATTGACATGTGATTGGCATGTGATTGACATGTGATTGGCATGTGATGGATATGTGATTGGCATGTGATTGGCAAGAGATGGACATATGATTGCCATGTGAAAGACTTGACTACAATGGTATCCATATATTCTTATGACTCCAGATGGAGTGTAAGTGTACTTGTGATTGTACTTATGATTGACATATAATGGACATGTGATTGACATGTGATTGACATGTGATTGACATGTGATTGACATGTGAGCACTCGACTACAATTGTATCCATATTCTTGTGACTCTAGATGGAATGATTGTACTTGTGTTTGACATGTAATTGGCATGCGATTGACGTGATTGGCATGTAATTGACATGTGATTGACATGTGATTGACATGTAATTGTGATGTGATTGACATGTGATTGGCATGTGATTGACATGTGATACACTTGACTACAATTGTATCGATATTCTTGTGACTCTAGATGGAGTGTAAATGTTGTTGGGGCGCCGGGCTCCCTCTACGCTGGGGAACATTTTCAACTTCAGTTCACTTTTGGCAAGAGGTACCCATTTGAATCACCAGAGGTAAGCAAGTCCAAGTTTAACTCTAACTCTCCTCAATCCTCCAAAATCAACCAGACACTTGTGAAGGATTATGGAGGATTGAGGCTGTACGCCTGTTTTGTGCCTGTTAATTGTGGAGGATTTATTGTGTCAAGTGGTTAAGCTGTACCTTTTGTTGTTGATGCCTAACCTTGCATAAATTATGCCTAGATTATACTTGAAATCATCAGCACTGCCTCAATGTATTATAACAGTGATTTTCAAGTATAATCTAGGCCTAAATGTAAGCACGGCTAAGCATAAACAGCACAAGGTCTGGCCCAAGTTCTTGTCACAGTGCATCCTCCAAAATCAGCCACACTTTTTGCCATATAGCCTCAAACCTGCAAATCCTCCATTTTGCAAAGAGGATTTTGGAGGATTTGGGAAGCTTAGGGTTGATACAAATTATGGTGAAATACATTTTGGCTAGGTCAGGCTAAGTTTGCATTAACGGAAGTGGACTGTACATATGTATATATTATATCGTAAAGTTAGCTTTCCTTTATTTGAAGAGATTTCACATCCTTACAAAATGTTGATGGAAAAAGATATGACAAGGTCGTAAAATAAACCTGATTATGCGATGGTGTCTTTATATTTTGTTTACAGGTAATTTTCATTGGTGGTAATATACCAGTGCATCCGCACGTCTACAGCAATGGACACATCTGCCTGTCCATACTAACCGAAGACTGGTCCCCCGCACTGTCGGTTCAGGCCGTCTGTCTCAGCATAGTCAGTATGCTAAGTAGCTGTACTGAAAAGGTAATTGCGAATTGCCTTTGAGCGAATGTCTTGTCTTATATTGTAAGCCCGTTTTTAATTTTGAATGGGCACAAACATGTGTCTTATAAAATGATCAGTGCGCCCTCAATTGACGTACTTTTGAGTCAGGTTTCGAAATGCATATTGATATCGTACAAATTTGTACGATCGATGGTTAAAGGGTATTTTACCACAATTTTCATCACAATGTTATGTTGTGGTAATAGCAATACGTGTTGGAGTGTTTGCATTTTCAACTCACGTGCATCCCTATGAGAATTGTTTTTGTTTTGCTGAAAGAACACGTAACTTTTTTTGTGATCTGTGGACAGAACTGTAAAATGGTGTTTGTGTTCAAAATTCCGTAATTTAAAAAAGTATATGAGTGATTTGAATGATTCTTGTACTAAAAGAAAACTTATTGTCTGGGCTTTCTTATCCTAGATTTTGAAAGTGCTACAGGCAAAACTTCACTCAAAAATTGGTCCTGCCTTTTGGGTTTCGTTTTTTTTTACTCGCCCTGTATATACAACTATGGAGCTATAAAAAATAACTAAATGAGTTTACACCTTTTCCTGAAATTTAAATACATGTACGTCAAATTAAACAAAATATATTTACTACTTGTACATACGTTTCTGAACCATTTTAAATTGAATTTTGTTTTCAGAAACGACCACCCGATAATACATTCTATGTGAAAACGTGCAGTAAAAGCCCGAAGAAAACAAAATGGTGGTATCACGGTAAGTAACATAGGTCATTCCGTGAATTTGGGGTCACATTTTGTTTGTGTCCCAGTTACATCTGATATAAGATTTTGTAAATTCAGGACGCATTAAGCAAAGTACTGGTCAGACAAATAGGGAATGTTACTCACAAAAGTAATGCTACTCTCAAGGCAGTAATATTAAGCCAGCATTCATCTCCAGTTTCCGTGACATGATACAACTGAGAATATTTCTATTCCCCCTGGAAGGGATGCTAGTCCATCGCAGGTTACTCCCCAGCTAATGCCAGTACCTATTTATACTCCTGGGTGGAGAGAGGCAAATTGGGGTGAAGTGGCTTGCCCAAGGACACAACATAATCCAGTAGCAGGATTCCACAAAAATATGAGAACCATAGAAATAAAAATGCTGAGAATAGTTAGTAGGTATTAGTAATCATGTCTGCAAATTTGTAGCACCGTTACAAATATAGCTGTTTATTTTCTTGCCTTTTCTTTTTTCATTGTTCGCTTCCTCACCTCCGTTTTAAAAACCTGGTAGTTTAATGTCTAATCACAATCCTGTTATCTTGTCTTATCGCAGATGACAAAGTTTGACGCAGTGTGCAGAATAGATACAGCAACTCATTAAAACCAATTGGAAAAAAATTGGGAATAACAACGAGATGAAAACAAAGATTCAACGGTGGTAGCTGGTGTACTGCTAAAATGTTTCGTGTTATTTTATTTTTTATTTTCATTATTATTATTTTTTTTCATTTTTAGTGCAATGTGTGATTGTGTGAAAATTGGACCCGAAATTCAATTTGTAACTTTTTTGGGGGGGGGGGGGGAGAAATAAATCATGTAGACGTGGTTTCAGCAAGTATTTTGTGTTGAAATGAACAGAATTACAGAACTTGTTCATAATTGCAGCAACACCTTTCTGCAACATGATATACTTCAAGAACTAACGTTAACCGTATACGTTGTACTTGTCATATTTCAACACCAACAATTACACAGTTCATACCTAAATTAGTTTTTGTTAAAAGTAATACACAGTTAACAAGTTGGTGACACTTTTCTAGTCTTTTGGACCTTTGCCTAATGTGAATACGCAAATATTAATAGCTTTCAGTAGTGTGGTCAAACTAGCCTCCCGAGGTGATCGTGGAGCATTCTGATTTCCTTTGGCGAAGCTGAGGGAACTCGAACGCTCCGACGGAGGCTAGTTTCACTACACCACGAGTTAAAGCAGTTGACGCCTCATCCACAGATTCTGCTTGATTTCGAGAGATAACTGATTGATTCAACCAAAAATTTGACAAATTGATACAATTTGCATGTGAAGTTAGTCAAAGACTGCTGCTTCATGAAATGTTTGAACCTGACTCTGTAGCGCATGGTAACAATACGCACATCGCACTCACCAGTTTGCATTTGCACACAGAGCTCCGGTTGCTACTTTGGTTGTTATGCGTACAAAACTTTTCAGCAGTTGTTGAGTTTTTTTGCGTTAGTGTAGTCGTTTTGGCTGTAGCACAGCAAGATAGTAGAAAAAGTGAAGACTGTGTGGCTCGATTTCAACCGATCAAGAGTAAGAATATGTTGGTGAGCCTATGAGGTGAAAACAAATCTTTCCCGCGTTTGACTACTTCCCCCGCGCTTACTCGTGCAAGCGCGGCTGCGTTCGATTTACCTCTCACGTGACTTCTCGCACTTACCCGCGCCTGGCCCAAGTAACCAACCCGCTGAGCCGGTTACTTCGGTAAGTATCCCACAATGCAAAGCCACAACATGGCCGCTAAGTCTAACGCTGCGGCTGCGGGGATTCAAAAGTTACCCAGCTGCACTTCACACTAGTACGGGAGGAAAGTTGAGTTAATTTTAAACATGCCCGGCATTTCTTGTTCACTATGGAAGAGCACGTACAGTGGCCGCCATTGCGCGCTTTCGACGGCACGAATCCATCTTGCAAAGCGGATTAATCATCACATGACCTCTTGACCCGGTCCGGTTGCTATAGCTCGAACTCAAGTAGCCCGAGATCGTTCGTTTATTGCTTCAGATTGCGCATGTGCATCTATACCCAAGACGAAAGAACGGGTACGCACGAGGGAAGTATTCGAACACAGTGCTTGTTATTCCAAAAAAAATAACTACATTGTCCTAGAACTTTAAGGACAGTACGAGTCTGTTTGATTAAAAGTAAATTGAAAAGACGGTGGTAGAACTATGTATATTTTGTTAACAATACAAATTCTGATGATCGAATTTCATCGTCATCTGGGTTTTGTAAATATTATGTATATAAAACAGATATATACATGTACACAGATAAGTTAAATTGGATGTTAAGTAATTTGTCTTTGTGTTATTGTAATGTTATGTATTTCATAGCTGTGATGAACAGAAGTGTTAAATTGCCAAAAGAACTAAAAATCATAGGGGTGTTCCTAGGGGAATACTTTTGTGATTTTCTCTACCGATACATATGTTTATTCTTATGAAGGAACTGGCTTTTGAATAAAAAGAAAAAGAAATTGCAGTTCAGTTTTGTAGTAGCGAGTTGCAAACAGTTTTGAAGATTTAAAGGTAATATACAACATTTGCAAATCAATAAACAAAACTACCAAATTGTTATGAAATACCTTACTTGACTGAAAGTGAATAATAGTCTCAAGAATCATGTGAAATCATGGCACCTGGTGTGCTGTCATTTTCAAGAAAAGTGGGACTTTTGTATCAATTTCCAACAATGGTCAGCCAACCATCGTTGGAAAAAAAAACCTGACAATACCCGACGTCTATAAATTGCTCCTTTTCGTCTGAAGCAGGGTCAGGGAACCAGACAACAAGAACAGCATTTTTTTTCTAGGTTTTCCCAGCATCTATGAACACAAAACTTTAAACAGGTGATGGAGAAAAATTCCTGGCTATACCTTTGAGCACATAGGTTTTGTCAGAAACTTTGTTGTTACACTCCCCCCCCCCCTTCAAATTGGTCTGGCGACGCCCCTGAATATATGCAGTTAATCATCTGCTTTGTTTCATTTGTCACAAGAAAAATGTAACAGTTAAAAATGTGGAGGGGTATTAACAAAATTAGGCACATCTGGACAATAGGTCTGGAGTTTAGGTATTAAATAAACACACCTTTTTAGTAACACCATTGTGTTGATTAATATTAAAGGGAATAAATATGTGCTTGGCCGGTTTTAAACAAGTACGTTGGGACCTGGACGTGGATAATGACCCAAGCCAAACATAATTGGTGACCAGGCCCCAAGCCGGTTATAATTATACTTGTTTAATACCGGCCAAGCACATATTTATTCCCCTCAAAAAGTCAAAACAAGTTTAATCGCCAATGATTTTGTTCAACAATATTACTTCAGTTTTGTGAAACACCCCTCTAGCTATGTTTATGGTATGTGCCTCTTGCGAGCAATACTAAAAATATCCTTATATGGAGATTAGCATGCCTGTGGTACGTACTGCACGATGTGGTACGTACTGCACGATGTGGCGCAGAACACAGCTGTGCTGGTGTAGTGTGAATTTAGGACTCATTAATAGTATTGCACACGCCGAAGTGAAGATTCTGAACGTTCAACCAATAAAACGGTAAAAGGGTCCAGTTTTCATAAGAGTCCAAATTCATGTGACACCAGCAAAAAAAGTGTTTCAAACCAGTTGGTGTTTTATCAACCGTTTAAAACCACCAAAGTGACGGGCTCTCGACCAATAGGAATGGTAAACTGTCTCAGGTATTTATGAACACATTTTAGTATTACAAAATTCTAAAATCAGACCACAATTTTTTTGTTTTAAAAATGAAACAATAATTTTAACCAAAATACCAGTGTTGTAAAAGCTCTGTTACATCCCAAATCAACATCTAATGTGTTGACGTTTCTTTATGGTATTTGTAATGTTTAAATACAGAAAAATTGTAAGACTGTCGGAAGTTGTAAAATTAAATGAAAGGATTTGTCAACAACAACTTGCACATGTGTTTATTTCCTTGTTAAAAAAAAAAATTGGTTAAAGTAAAAAATTTCCTTTTGATAAAACTACGTGTACATCATTTGATAATATAGGCCTACCACAAACGAGCTTGCAGACAAATTTCAACATAAACATTTCACTACAACTATTCATATTTCTGCAGGGGTCAAGTATTCAAATGGCTTCAGATTTTGCTTGGAAACATTGTCTGGGTTCAAATAATTGGTCTATATTTTAAAAAAAAATTACACTGCTATATTGTACACATTTTGATCAGCTGATGTTCAAGACGGCAGCATATTGCAATTTAAATGCATGCACAATTCTTTAAAAAAAAAGAATTAATAAATATTTTATTTACAAAACATACTTTGTAACTTCTTTACAATACCTCATGTTAATCTTGAAGGTACACTTGTCCAACCAAACCCACAATTTACAATAACTTGGGTAAATTTTAATTTAACATAATCACATGAAAGTCAACCAGCAATACAGAACAAATGCGAGTGCACAATAAGCTCTGGCCGTGTTGCAAGAAGGCTTGCATGAAAGTTTTGCGTGAAATCAATCAAATTGATCCCCGTCAGAACTGAAAAATATAACGCTGAAAAATACGACGCCCATGGCACATATGGAACACCATACTTTTGGTAAAGACAGACAGACAGACAGACAGACAGACAGACCACCAAGTGACATGTAGAAACTCCTGCCAGAGCTTAAAAATCAGAGAAGAAAACAATCCTCGTTGAGTGCATTCGATTACTTCCCCCGCGCTTACTCGTGCAAGCGCGATCACAGCGTTCGATTTACCTCGCACGTGACTTCTAATGCTTACTCGAGCCTGGCCCAAATAACCGACTCGCCGAGCCAGATAGTTGGGTAAGTACCCCATAAGGCCATGCAATAAACATGGCTGCCAACGTGACGTCCGGGGGGCGCCTCAGGCCGTTTGCTTCCAGAGCTACAGCTGCAGTCTATTGCGGCCCGTCCCTGCGTAATGGGCGCGGACCTAGACCTAGCTCTAGACCTAGACCCACTGATCTCTATTATAATGTCAGTATAATAGAGATCAGTGCCTAGACCTAGCTCTAGACATTTGATTCGGATGCAGCCTCAGTGTCATGTCAAAGTTCAACTTTCCAGCTCTTGCATGAAACTGTACCTGAAACGGTTCATTTATTTAGCTCCACTGCGCATGTCTGGCATCACGTGAGGAGCAGGCGCGAGTAAGCTGGGGGAAGTAATCGAACACACTCGTTATGCTGATATTTTTTTAGATTGTGCCAGAAAGCAACACATTGGATGGCTTTGTTCTTACCTTGTCTTTATAAAGAATGTCTAATTTCTTCTGTTTTTTAATATTTCATATTCTCAAAAGTATTCTTTGAGATTTACACTATAAATTGCATCAGAATGATAGAATTTTTAACTATAATAAACCTTCCAGATATATTATCTGGAAGGAACTATCTTGAATTAAATCGAGAATATTTACACTTGTATAAAACACTCAACTAAAGATGTCTGCTTGATGACGACCTAAGAAAGGTTTTCAAGAGTTGCCTGAGAAGCTCTTCACTTAGAAAGTGATAACTTGGTTTTCAGAACCGAATACCTTTCCTCAGTGTTAAATTATGACTTTTAATCCTCCTATGCAAACATGCATTTAGTACAAAGTTGTCCTTTCAGTCGAAATCAATCAAGTGACTGTTTTTAACAGTTAAGAGCTCCCAGCCTACATAAAGCAGGATTGACTGGCTGTGAATGTTTATGTAACTTGATACAGCTTTGCTTTGACTTTAGGCGATTGATAAGCCAGCTGTGCCAACCACTTGCCTGCTTTTGTCTGTTGACTGAAGTTGACTAGTCACAGTGCTTGCTGGACATATATGATCGGACAGTTGGTGACTAGCCTGTGTAAAAGGCATGGCAAGGGAAGAGGATTAATTTTTTTGACTGTCTGTGACTGTTCAGACAGCAGGAGGGTTAATGCTTTTGACAGCATATCCTAAAAAGCTCACACAGTACGTATAAAAGCAAATAAGAACTAAATGCAACAATGATTTTTTTGGGGTAAAAATATACCGTCAGTAAAACGTATCATGCCGCTCATACGTCTACAGTTTTTATTGTGGATGTGCATGATGCTCAAAAATATATCCAAAACGTTTAAACAAAACCCCTAATTTTAAAATCAGACCTAGTGGTGTGCACTTACGGGTAGTACATAAACAAGATACCCTACTGAAGTAAAACACGGGTACCTGGTTACCCGTAAAAGAAACCAACTCAAAATTCAAATCCCGGAAGTTGTCCGAAGGACTTTATAGCTTTAGGATGTAAACTGCAACTTTCGCGAGCTTCATCTGTCGGGTGTTACATTGCACATCAACGTGAAATCTGTTTTGGTTTGCCATGTAGCCTGGTTTTCATTTTGAAAATTCCCCGCAAATGACTTAAAAAACTGTCTTTTTCATTGTCTGAGAAGTAACTAAGTAACTTGTAAAGTTGGTTACTGGTACCCGATCCCATAATCTGGAACCGGTTCCTGACATCAGCGGTCGGGTACTCGGGTACCCGGTTCCGATGCACAGCCCTAATCAGACCTTGATTCACGCAATTAGCCCACATTTTTATTCTACTATAAAACAGAAGTCTATTTTATAGTCATAACCTATTTAACCTCCAAAGCATTAAAAGCAAGGCAGTACACTTGTTCACATCTCAAAGGTTTAATATAACATTTTGTAATGATTCGCAGCAATCTATTTCGTCTAACTTATACATTGTATACAATTCATTGTGTATGATATTTCCAATATGCTCCAGACCATGATAAATGTTCTATGCCTTTCCTAGGTGCAACTTTGCAGGTACTTGATGAAGTTTTGGCAAATTGTTTAAACGGTGCATAAAAGTTTGTGACACATTTACGGAATTGAACTTGGATTCAAATCCCTAGTAGTGATGAACCGTTGTCCTGACGACGTATTGGTACTACAGTGGACAAAAAATAAATTTCTCTATTTTTCTCACAACATTTGCTGAAATCACTTCATGAACGACGCAATCTGAGGGTAAAAGAAACAAAAATATAAGATTCACTCATATCACTCCCTGCTACAAAACACTGCAGAGTAACTTTTCCAATTTCGGTCATTGATGCCGAAACGTCAATTCTGGTTACTGGTAAAGCTGACCTTAAATTCGGGAAGAAATCGTTCCAAAACGTCCCCAAATCTATGTATCTACTCAATTTCTAAGGAATCCCTTCAAGTTGTTATTTCACAAGTAGTTGAACACTTATATCATCTAAGTATACATTCCGAATTTCAGCTTAATCTGTTGTTGCAAACGCTTGAGTTACACCTTGAACTATCTCCAAGGTAAATTTCGACAAGGAATTTCTGCCGACCAAATTAACTCACATGCATGGTATTCAGGTTGGCTGATTTTGAGGCAACAAAATATTCATATTCATTAGCATCACTCGGCGTGACTTTGCAAGGGTCTCGGTATCACCAATTGAAGCCGGTAAAGAGCGTGATGTTTATTAATTAATAACACGTGAAGGAGGCTATTCTGCAAATTTTTACTGCACACCACAATGGATAGGAACCTTATTAATATTCGTGAGCCTTGAAAAGATTGACAGATATTGCAAACACCAGTGTTACAACTTTTAAAAATGCACGTAGCCAGGCCTATTTTTCAAATTTCAACGAAAGGTACTGAAAATATCAAAACGATTTTTGGCACATAGTTGGATCATTAAAATGAAAACAAACCCTGAAAGTTGCATGAAGGTACGGCCTTCCATCCAAATGGGAGAAATGTATTGTCAAAGATTTTGCCAGCCAACGTAAACATGTCTGTGTGCATGTTGTTTCATTCAAAATAAAGTATTACGTAAACTTTAGAAATCGGCCTTCGCAACCACACGGCTGTACATGAATGAATGGCTGATGACGGATAGTTTAGCTAAACCCATGCGTGATTGCGTATGCATATCTGTTCGCATGTGAAACCTCTCTGATACCTACCTCTTGTTCAACGAGTTTCTTCTTGGCCATGAGCACGCCTGCTTTGTCCTTGTTGCCAGCCATTAATGTCTGCTTGGCATGGGCGATGTAGCCTGGTAAAGAGGACTGTAGTCTGGCCACGTATGCTGAGGAAAGAAGACAGATTTTAGGGAAAAGTGTACAGGGCCTTCCTAACGAACGCGAACACATGCGCATGAGTAGTCTTGGCCCAAGACGCTAGTGATTGATAGTGCGCCCTCTAATGGCACAACAATTAGACCAGTGCGCCTACTCACACTAACATCTTGGCCATTTTGTATCAGCGGTTTAACTCTTTATTTTCTCCCTAGGCTTTCCTAGGGAACCAATCAGCGATCGAGAAAAGGTTCGATGGCTCACCCAACGGTTGTAAACATACATGTCCTTGTGGTACGTTATCGAGCATCATATCAGTGCTTTCCTGGAGAACCAATCAACGATCGAGAATTGACAGTTCAAGGGCTCTCCCGACGGTTGTAAAAAATACACCATCTGCGGTACGTTATCGTGCATCATATCAGTGCTTTCCTAGGGAACCACTCAGCAATCAAGACTTGAAGGTTCAATGGCTCGCCTGACAGTTGTAAACATATACATGTACGTCTCGCGGTACGTCATCGAGCATCATATCAGCACTTTCCTAGGGAACCACTCAATGATCAAGATACTGCGGTGATCATGCACGGAGCTATAAACAGGTTTGCTCAAATATATTCAGACGGTCTTATTTACATAAAATTTCTACGAAATGACCAAGACGTTAGTGCGAGAAAGTTTAAAAACAATTATGCAAGGGCGCTACACAACAATGCAACTATTGCTCTTGATCACTGACGTCTTGGGCCAAGACTAGCGCATGAGTGGAGTGCACCCCGTATCGCACCCTGAAACAACAGAGAAGGATTATACGCAACTACCTTGCCTCGCTTGTTGTCCGCCCTCCTTCAGGAAAATGTGCAGTTTCTGTATCTTGTCTGATGTGAGCCTCTGCTGTGCCATCAGTTCCTTGGGAACACTTCCTCTATGCGCCTGCAATTCTGTCATCTGTACAAAAAATAAATACACCACAAGGAAACTGAGCTATCCAGCCCTATGTATGACAAAAAAATATATTGCTTTATTCAACTTCTTAATTATATAAAAAAAAAAGTAAAAATAGTATTACTGTATCAGTATCACAAGGTTCAGTTAAACAGAAAGCAGTGTTTATGAAGTATACAGTTTTTTTTACAAATGGGACATGTGGCCATTCTAGACCAATGTAATTACAATATCCAAGTATACAAATAGTGACTGTTTCGATTGGTGTAGTAAAACTAGCCTCCCGAGGTGATCCATGGAGCATTCTATTTGTCCTGATGCAAGGCCAAGGGTAAAAAGAATGCTCCATGGATCACCGAGGGAGGCTAGTTTTACTAACACCACAAGATAAAGCAGTCAGTATTTGTTTTATAATACCTCTCCCACAGATTCTGCTTAATTTTAATGATTAATTTAATCTAAATGCAATCAAAATATACTCTATATGAATACGAAATTAGTTGAAATTTACTTGCACTTTTCCAAACTACCCCTTCAAGAAATGTTTGAACCCAACTCTGTGGTGCTAGCGCTTGGGAACAATACGAGCAACGCGAATGCCCTTTTTGCATTTTGCACACAATACCGGTTATTATGAGTATAGTGCTTTGGTTGCTATGCATTGGTTGCTATGCATATAGTACTTTGGTTGCTACGGGTATAGAACTTTTGGCCGTGCACAGCAAGATAGTAAAAATAACAGATGCCATGTGACTCGCTCTCGGCCAATCAAGATACAGAATCTGTGGGTGAGGCGTTATAACACACTATATAACAAATAACTTTTTAATAATACCACAAGAATATAATACCAGAGTCTTATAGCGCTTAGGAACAATACGCCTTTTAATACTACTGTTATAATAATATTGATGGAATATGTACCTTATAATAATATTGATGGAATATTGATAGAATCTGTACCTTTTTCTTGAGTTGCTCTAACTCCCAGTTCAGTACATACAAACTATCAGCAGACTGCACGCTCCTAAAACACAATTCAAAGTGCAATCAGGGAATAACTTGTGTTAATAACTATTTTTGTTTTCCTCCCGAGTGAAAGATGGAAAAAATCACTCGGATGGGACTTGAACCCACGACCTCCTGCTTTCTAGTGCAGATGTCTTACCACTCGACCACCGAGCCATCGGTTGGCTGGTTCGAATCTGATGTACATAGCAGCGGGTACCGCATAAACTATTATAAGATGGAATTTTGCGTCGGGGTGATATAAATTAAATTAGGTTTTGCCCTTCACCGACGTTTAATTTTTACACTGTATACTCAGTGTGTTACCTCCCAAGTGAAAGATGGAAAAAATCACTCGTATGGGACTCGAACCCACGACCTCCTGCTTTCTAGTGCAGATGTCTTACCACTCGACCACCGAGCTAACGGGATCGGTTGGCTGGTTCGAATCTGATGTACATAGCAGCGGGTACTGCATAAACTATTATAAGATGGAATTTTGCGTCGGGTGATATAAATTAAATTAGGTTTTGCCCTTCACCGACGTTTAAACACTGTATACTCAGTGTGTTACCTAGGGCAAAACCTAATTTAATTTATATCACCCCGACGCAAAATTCCATCTTATAATAGTGTTGCGTTTTGTCATCCTCACTGTCATTTAACCGCAAAATTTTCTAATTGGCTCATGAGCGACTTTCAAACAACGTAAAACAAATCTTACAATTGGCTGGACAACGACCTGTTTTTTTTTCGACAGAGATCTATTTTCCGGCCAGAATTCCATCTGTGGCCTAAAAAATAGCATTGGAATATCCTTGGCTACTGAAAGCCAACCCTAATTCTCTTTGACCGATTTGTTACAGCTCCTTGGGAAAAAAATATGCTCAATGGTGTTTGCTTTATAAAAAAGGATACAAGATCACATAACACAATTAAACCAGAGGAGAAAACTGTATGAAAATGATGACTCACTTCTGTGGAGAGGTTGCTGCTGAGTGTCCCTGAGGAAGGAAAATGAAACAAAAAATTGCTACAGACTTTTTTTTAATGTCTAAGGGTACATTTGTACTGTTTTCAGGGCACTTGATTTAACCACATGTTAAGCCACATGAGGATTCATCCATATTCATAAAGCAACGCCGCTTTTGGTTAAATTGAAAAGACGTTCATTTAATGCACAATGCACATATATTAAATACAGTCAACTCCGGCTAAACCGACATCGTATAAACCGTCATATCGCTTAAATCGGCCGTCTGACGAAAGTCCTGATTGTCTCTAATGCATTTCCATTGACATTTTCATTTCTAAGCCGGCCTTTGTAAGCCGCCATGTTGCCTATATTGGCGTATTACTTTCAGTCCCATTTCCTCAAAACCACACAAATTCTTCTGTAAAGTCGGCATCGTACTCTGCGGTTTGCAAGAAGTGTCGAGTGAAAAGTCCCACACACTGCATTTTATTTGTGACAAAATACATGGACATAGCCACAAGCCACGTGCACGATCAAAACGGGGTTTTCCCGATATCAATACCAGTACCCCTTCTCGACTGCACACATGCGCTCTGTTCATTTTGGGGTACCCTTATTGTACCAGTACCATGCACACATTTAATTCGTGACTGTACACGTACGTACGTGCACAATGTACACTGCATGTACATGGACGTACAGTATGCAAGCGATCTGTATATCATACCACTATTAACGCTAGCCAGCCGCCCCGTCCTTGCTTCGTACGTACGTACATGTACATGCATGACTTTCTGTGATCAATACCACTGTTTGTGATGATAAACATTGAGGATATATTTGCTGGAATCAACCATGGATGTAGAAATAAACCAGGGTAAATCAAAGCCTTTGAATTTTAGCCATGAATCTTGTTTGCATGATCCAGATACAGATGCGCATAGGCCATTAATTTAATCTATTTTTCACTCCGTAATTCAATTTGTGTATTTGTGTAAGTCAGCAAAATGACGACTTGCAGCAGAAGCCGACATTCGCGTAAGCCGTCACAAATTCTCTGGTCCCGAGAGTGCCGTCTTAGCCGGAGTTTACTGTATACTAAATGTTTAGGGAAAACCAAACTTTGAGAGCGCCTTACGTGTTGCGTTGGTTGCTTTGTAGGACTGTGATGACTTGGACTGGATTTAGGAACCTAATGTGATAAATAAAACATTGGTGTACAATAGGAAGTAGCACAGAGTCCAGGTTAACTCCTATGAGATAATAAGTAGGTTTCATTACAAGTTTTGACATGAATGTGTACGCTAAGGACCGGGTTTGGCAATGCACGTAAAACTACTTAGGTGCTGTACGCCATGCCTAACATAACTCATACATGCACAGTGAATTCTGGATAAGTCAAACTCTGATAATTCAAAACAACTGTTAAATCAAACATAGAATCCATTACCTTCAGTAGTATAACAATGATATACAACCCTGCTTAACTCAAAACTCTACTGAAGTCAAATTTTGAACCTGTTCAATTGAGGTTTATCAAGATTTCACTGTATGTAATTCACTTTTCTCTATGTCTGAACATGGAACTAAAGATCCTTAGGTACGTTCAACTCAGTACCACGCAAAGCCATCAGTTAGTGATAATTCTGCCAATAACACACTGGTTCAAAATGCACCAATCCCAGGAGATATTGGTTGCCACGGTATTACTTTGGAGCTGGATCGGGAATTTTCCCGACTTTTTTCCCCCAAGGGTTTTTGCGGGGTTTTCGCCCATCCCGTGATCAGTAATTCATAACTTAAATGTTTAGAATGAACTTGTAAAATGTAGTTTAATTTCTGAAATATTTCTGAAATACTTGTATTTGTAAATATTAATGTTTGTCGTATCTTTCACCAATGTACTTTTCCTTTTGAGTTTAGCTTTACTTCAAATTATTTAATAATTAAAAAATATGCAGGGCCCCACTGGCAACCAGTTTCTAAACTGTTTGGGCATACCCTGGGTAAAGAAATGTAATAAATAAATTAATGAAGGTCCACTAACAAGCTTTTTTCTAGACACTTTCTAGTTAGTTTTAGGCTACTCACATGCGATGGTTTATGCTTGCTGTTGATAACGAGCCATTTCTCTTTGGTTTGGTCTTCCTTGACTCCACTCAGTGGATGGTGGATGCGAACTTTGACCTCAAGCTTGCCCCCAGTGGGTTTGCGGCCATCATACAACTACAAAATCAAACGGACACAACGTGTGCATATTAGCAGCCATGATGAAATGCAAATGAGTCATTCAATTAATTTGGTGTCCAAAGCAGCACATTTTTCCTATCCATGTTTACTTTCAAACATTGTAATTTGCCATTCAAGTATCATTAAGAATGACTTCAAATAATTTTGTTTTATCTGTTGGACAAGTAGTTTGCTTTTAATATATAATCACTCTTGGTAGGCCATCAGCCTGGGGGTTTGGACGGTATCAAATGAGGGGAATAATGCTCGTGATTTTTGGCAAGGTATGCACCCCTGTAGTTGGAAAATTGTGATAGCATTGCAGCGATGGCGGCTTTTTGGGTGCACAAAAAATGGCGGCCAAAACATGCTTCTTAACACATGTAGTTAATCTGGTAACAAGCATACTGGCGGCCATTTTGAAAAACAAAATAAAAATGATATCACCCAAAAAAACTGCCACCGCTCACAAATTGTGGAATAGTAATTTTTTTTATAGCTATCACACATTTTCCACCTCTAGATGTGCATAACTTCCCAAAAGTCACTATGAACATATTGCTCTTTTCGATCATTTGATACCGGTGGCCCAATTTTTGGACCAAAGCTGATAGCCTATGGAGAAAGAAGGCATTAAGGAGTACATCAGAATTATAAAATCATAGATGTCAGATGCAACAGGGACAGGAAAAAGTGGACCCCAAATTTATAGAATGACCAAAATTGAAATAGGCCATATTTTTTTAAACAAATGATGATTCTTAATAACGATCTATTTTTTGGGTATAAAACACTGAAGCAAAATTTATTAAGATTAGGTACATTACTTCAATCTAAGAATTTATCTGAAAGGACACAACACAAATATATCAATATGTGGAGTTCAATTTTGCCCAAATTTCCACAGTATTTGTACTCACTGGTATGCTTTCATGAATTTCACATTTCGTTTCCAGTTCCGCTAACTTGAGACTAGCCTGGGCCAGGAGCTTGTCGCTCCTCAGAAAGCCTCTCGCATAGTAGACTTCAAATTTGACGGACCTCCGTTTGACACAGGATGCAAACGACCTGTTGCGCTGAATGTTCAGCTTGGTAGAGTCGTCATATTCTATCGTATCAACACCCTTGCCCCAACCGGTCTTGCCAGTTTGAGGTTCATCCTACACAAATAAATAATAAAAAGTCAACGTTTCAGAATCAAGAGTGGAAAACCCTGACTATTTCCGGTGGTGCAATAAATAGGGCAAATCCCTACTTGAACAGTTGACGTCTCAAAATGACTTAACCACTTTACGCCGGGTTTATTTTTGCTGAAAATTTCAAAATTTTCAAATGGCAAAATTTCCCAGCGAACTTCTAATATACAGCCAAACACCACCAATACTGATTCGCAAGAGTGATTTCAACAGTATTTGTACAATATTTCTTGCCAAAACCTCATAATGTTTCAATACACCGGGGTGTGCACTGGAGCATAAATTGTACAAAAATAGGCCGTGCACAATGGCCCACACAACGGTCAGCACACAGTCCGCCTCCACAGACTTCACGGAATTTGTGTGTACGTGTTCATCTTTTCAAACTGTGGACGAAAAATACCAGAGAACAAAAGAGAACAATATCGTCCACGATTCCCAGCATACGTCCGCGATTGGGGTCGTGTACAAAACATATGGGAGTCTTCCTAAAAAAAGAGTACAAACAAAAGAGGGACAATAGGACGTCCACGATCGACGGTGAACACACGTTAGGGTGATCTGATACACCGTGCCCTCTGGAGACGTGCACACAATAGGGAACAAAAGATGGTATGTATACGTCTCCACAGGACAATTTCTATAGATGAACACGTCTCCACAAGATTTTCACGAAATAGATATATGGATTTTACTCAAAAACTAGGAATTTCCAAGGTGGGTTGATCCGTCGCAAATGGAAGAGTTTTAGAAAAGGGATATTAAGTCCGAATTTCAGCCAAGGAAATTAATTCTGGTTGAAATAAGAGCTTTTAAAACTTCACTTTCAAACTCGAAAACTTTACTACACGAGAACAAAGGAATGTCTCCACAAGAATACAAATTTCAGCATGTGTGTGTGTTCCTGTACTGTATTACGCTCGAGGACAGACAACAAAAGGAGCACAAAGGGGCCATTCATCCTCGAACGACGGTGCCTATTGTCCTCGAACGCAGGTTTGTGCACTAAGTCTATGGGAAAGGTTTAGATCAGGGAACAAAGGAAAACACAAAGCCAATCCTCGGAAGCATAGCAAAAAACGACTGTGTGGGCGTGTGTGTGGGGGGGGGGGGGTGTACTGGTTAATGAAGTCACTCAGCCAGATAAAGAAAAATGTTACATCGTGTCTTCAATACTGCAATTTTGTAGGTCTAGAATAGCCACGTCTAGAATAGCCACTAGTCTATTAAAAATAACTGTTTACTTCATATACACTGCGTTGTAAATGAATTACCTCATAAGCCTTTGGACTTATTGGCGCACTTTATGATGTGGGATATCACGTTTTTAACACCCAAGGGGCGCACAGCACCCGAGGCGAAGCTGAGGGTGCTATGCGCCCCTCGGGTGTTAAAAACGTCATATGTCCCACATTATAGTAGTCAACGACTGTTAAGCATAACCCTGACTTTAAGTAAACAGTACTCACACTTGGGTATGGGAACTCAAACTTGACTTGTGTCTCCAGATCTTTTTCTCCTAGTTACATAGAAGAAATATATAAAGACACAAACTGTAATCAGACAAAAAGTCAATATATCGTTCCTGTCACTAGTCAAATTCAGCATTTTCCTCCTTTTTTGAATGAAATTAACCCCTTAGCATGTGTTTAAAAATCAGTTGCACAATTTGGGGGATTCACAATGCAGTTAGTTAGTTTTTCCGGTCAGTAGGTTCATAAGCTTATGATTCAAGTATAATGTTTGCCTTTTTCTTTTCTTTTTAAAAATATGGTGGATATTTTTTAAGGCGGCAGAACGCTATGCCCTAATCTATTATACAAATATTGAATGCTTCGAGTGGTGTAGTAAAACTAGCCTCCCGAGGTGATCCATGGACCATTCTATTTTCCCGAGGCGAAGCCGAGGGAAAATAGAATGCTCCATCATATTATTCCTACCTGGTGGTAGCTTGTACTGAATCCCGTTCACAATGATAACCTCAACTTCGGTGTCCGTCAGATCCGGGATAACTCTGGTAAACACAAACACCATACAAGAACAACCCAAGAATATTTAACACCACCACAAATTCAGCCAAAGCATAGCTATATCAAGTTACTTAAACAGTCCCAGCCAGTCAATCCTGCTTTATGAGGGTGGGGATTCTTACGAGTTGAAAACAGTCACTTGATTGATTTTGACTGAAAGGACAACTTGGCATGGAACGTATGTTTGCATAGGAGAATTGACCCTAACAGAACTCAACCCATCAAACCCCAACGGCATGTTTTGTTGGAATCTGTTAGGATGGGTACAGTACCCCTAAATTGACAGTCTTTTACATTGGGTTGGCACACCTCCAGAATCAAAGTCAGAAATATGTGTGTACAGTTTCCCATATGGTGTTGGAATTTGCCAGGATGGGTATGGTTCCTAGTAAATCATGCTAGGGAGTTAGGGCTTATGGATATAAATAGCGATGGCTGACCTGATTGACGGAATGGTCCTGGACTCGTAGTGAAATCTAGGAACAGGATCTGAATGTGACATGGACACTTGTAAAAGATCCAAGTCCTGCTGGCAACTATGCTTCATGTCACCAAATCTAAAATGAAAAACCATTCAACAAATCCAAAATCTTCAGATTCGTACATCAATGTTGACATTTTACATCACAATTACAATAAGGATGTGTTGATTTCTTAGCGTTGTTTATATCTTAGGGCTGTCCATTTCCGAATAATTTAGTATTTGATTACTCGAAAATGTGTTTGACCAAATATTCATTTATTCGAAACTGCCAATTGCAACTGCGTGCCGTGCCGGTCAAAAGTTGCATGCAGAGCGTGCCAGTTAACATTTGCGTGCGGCAATCGATATGGAGTGTTTCGCAGTCAATATGTATAACTGTCAAGGTCTTTAAAATAATATATAATAAAATAAATAAATCGTAATGCTTATAAAGCGCTTTTCATCATATCAACAATCTCAAAGGCTTTACAATAATAATTCCCCGTTCATCAGGCCACGCGACCACGCGGCAGCCGTTATCAGCGCACATTCGGTTCTCAACCCTCACAGGTACCCATTCATACTCCTGGGTGGAGAGAGGCAATTGTAGTTAAGTGTCTTGCCCAAGGGCACAAACACCATGTTCCTGGCAGGGTTTGAACCCACGTACCATCGTACATGAGTCAAACACCGTAACCGTTGGACCATGACATTCTAACCTGCTATAAGGACAGAAACAATGAACCCCCGTCCACAAAAATCTTTACTGTCAACAAAAAAGTGGCACCTGACAATAAAACGCCACTACTTTATGATTAAGTAACATCACAATCGTGAGTGTATGTGCATAGTGTTTTTGTTTTTGAATATTTCTGTATATTCGGGATAGCCCTATCATATTTGTCATAATACAAAGATGATACAATGTAACGGAATACAAATGAATAGGATCAATGAAGAAAATGTTTAATTGTTTTCATGTCATTCAAGGCAAAAATTTCAGGGCGTATTAGAAACCGCGTTCTCGAGTGATTCGTAAACCGTGTTCTCAGGAACCGAGTGGAGTGCAGCTGGGCGAAAATTCAAGATGGCAGCCGCCGTATTAAAACGCCGAATGAAAAGATGTGAAAAATATTGATCTTTCAAAAATAATTAAAATTCCGGAACAGCAATACAAAGAATGGCAAAATATGACTCAGCAACTTTTTAATTGGCAAAATATAACTCTGCAACTTTTGAATTAAAATCGAATATTGTTTTCTCGGAATATACAGCATTCACAGAGCTATAAATTCATCAAGTTAGTTGTTAAGCACCCCTTTTTAGATTTTGAGGTATTTTGTTGCTTCAAACGAAACAAATTCACAAATGACAAATGATCTACTCTACCTTACAATAACGATACCTTTTTGATGTTGACAAGTTTCCAAGTTGCATGTACTGTTTTTCATTTGAGGCACAAATCTGAAATTGAATGTAGAATGAAAACTACTATAAAGCACAATATTGTTGCTCAAGGCGCTACATCATTATTACCCTGCTCATTGGGCCAATGAAACATTCCAAATACCATCTCAGCTCCCTGGGGAGTATGCAGCTCAATGCAGCCATTTCGGCACAAAGCAGCTAGAATCAACCACAATAACCATCTCTGCCTCACAGGTACCCATTTACTCCTGGGTGGAGAGAAGTAACGAGTGACAAAGTGCTTTGCCCAAGGGCACACGCACCATAACCCGGGCTGAATTCGAACCCACAACCTGCAGAATTACCCGCAAACCACAATTTCAATGCTCTAGACCATGAGGCCATGGTACTCCACAGTTATAAAGCATAAGTCATTTTGGTTATATCTGTCAATGCCATTTTCATGTGACACGTAGAAAAAACAACAACATTTTACAAATTTTTTAAACTTGCAAAATATTCATCAAATAAACCACAAAGGGAAGTGGAGTATATGCAAATATAATAAAATATACAATTTAACAAAGAAATTGAGTGGAGCAGGGTTTGAACCTGCAACCTCCGGATTGCTGTTCCAGTGCTCTACCGTCTGAGCTATCCAGCCCTATGTTGACAGTTTCCCAGTTTGTCAATTTCAAAGAGCGTTGTTCCAGAGGTCGGAGATTCAAACCCCGCTCCAGTTAATTTCTTTATTCAACTTTACAATTATTTAGCATGGAAGGTTTGCGGTAACACAATGTGAATTATGTCTCTCTTGAGTTGTGTAGTTCTGAGTAGAACCAGTTGTTTTAACTCAACATATTAAACAGTATGCTCATCAGGAGACTGATGACGAACAGAGCACACGCTCTTGTTTTGCTATACTCTTGAGGACAATGCTTTGTGTTTCCCTTTGTCCCTGTAATATAACACTCTCCAATAGACTAAGCACATAACCGTACGATAGAGGACTGTTTCCAACAAAAGACCCAACTCCCGAGGACTGAAAGGATCTGTTGTTCTCCCTTTGTGTGTCGGTCCTTGGGGGTTATGTAGAACAGGTACACACTTTTCTGAACAGAGCACAGTCTCATGATGATGAACGGAGCACATTGTTCAAAACGTCGAGTAAAAACGACTGGTTCTTCTCGCATCCACACAACTCACAAAGAGATATCATTCACATGGTATTACTCGTGTGCCGTGGTACATGGGTTCGAATCCTGACTGTGGGAACATGGTGCTTGTGCTCTTGAGCAAGGCACTTTACCATTATTGCTTAGTCCTTCGGATTGGACGTAAAGCCGTAGGTCCCGTGTGTTGTGTAATGCACGTTAAAGAACCCAGTAACACTTATAGCTTAAGAAGGGGTTTGCCCCAGTGTTTCTGGCAGTGGCTGCTTAATGCGCCGCAGCACCTTGTAAACCCTCATAAGGTGCTACACAATGGGTCTCATATTTCTCATAAACTTCATTTACCTGTGTTTAATAATAGACATAATTTCCAGCGCCTTGAGTACCTAATTGTTGGTAGATACGTGCGCTATATAAGACTCCAGTATTATTATTGTTATTATTATTATTATTACTACTACAAACCTTCCATACTTTGTTCATGCCCATCATGCAAACCTACAAGACTCAATTTACAATTATTAACAAAATATTGGCCGACATTCCAAAGCGCCCTACCTCAATTTGTCTCTTCAGGGTGGTCATTAGACGAGCGTAGAGTTGTTTACTATCGGCAAGGACTTCAGCCGTCAATTCTTCGCCTGCTGGCACGTCGCCTGATGACACTATCTCCATATCATCCTCAAAGGACGACTGTTGCTGGAGCGGAGAGGGTGGAATCTAACACAACAATGTGATATTATAAACAGAACAACAAGTAACATGTGAGAAGTGAACTTCGGACCTTTTCATTACAAGACAAGTGTTTTTTTTTTTTCAATTTAATTTAACTTCTTTCTGGTAATGAAACCAAGGATTCCTCAAAAGTGCCCCAAAACACTGTAGCTCGCAAGCTTGAAGAAACCTATAGAAAATTCAAAAGTATGTACAGCACAGATAATTACACATCTGAAAAGTAATGAATTGATATATTCATCTGAAACTGTTTTTGAACCAAAAATACATGGAGTTCATATTCAATTAACTTACCGATTCCATGTTGACTGGCAGACCATTCTCGCTTGCTGCAATCATAGAATCAAATCCCTGCCAAAATACAAATAAACAGATGTGGAAATGTCACCTAATAGCCTAAATCACACTAATGTTGCACTTTGCCTATCTGTACAAGTACGTATTAACACATTGACTCTGGCGCTTAAAAGGGCACTCAGCATCCGTGTGCTGAAATATAAAAAGGTGTTTTTTCGCAACTTCTTCTAATGGGGCTGCGGTTCAAATCGGAAACTTTCGGACAATAGGTGGCGCTCTCCAATGCGGCACAACATTCGTGGGACGTTAACAAGGGCACTAGTGAAAAAAGGGCGCTTGTCAAAAATGACACTCATGAAAAAAAGGGCAATCGCTAGAAAATACTGAGTTGCAAAATAGAATTTTCGTGCCGTTACCCATTTTTCACTGCTCGATTTTTGCTTTCTAAATGTCCATTCCATTGCAATTTGCACGCAGCTGCAGCTAGTGTGAGCGTGCTGATTGACACCATGGGGACAAGGGTGGGGGGTAAAGTCCGACTTGAGATACCTTGACTACTTTCAGCAGTCTCATAGCTTCACCCATATCTCCCTCCTTCTTGGCTTGGATAGCGAGCGTCTTGTACTCCTTCTGCCTGGCAACCAGTACCCTCAGATTCTTCAGGTTCTGTGCTTCTTTCACTGAAATTACAACAAAGAATGTAAGTTAATGTAGGTCTCCAGACCAGGTCACGGTCTCAACACCGTCTCAAGACAATTTTTCGCGGTGAGATTGACGCTGGAATGGAGACCAGTCAATGCAGTTGGTTGATTCAGAGTACTGGTACCTGCGCACTTATTTCACCCATGCAAATTCATAATGCGTTCCAAATTTCTTTTTGAACATATCTTGATTTCAGCACCATACATATTTATTCATGGTTGGTCTCGGTCTCGGTCTCGGAAGTCTTGGTCTCAGTCTCGGTCTCAGTCTCGGCCTGCTCCCTAGGCATTTTTGCTAGGATGCAATATCAATCCTACACAATTCTCCAACTGCCTCCATGTAAAAATTGCATACAGCCTCAATCCTGCAAAATCGTTTGTTCTTTCTTGAATGTGTTCCTTGGAGGATTGACCACTGCCTAAATTCTGCAAAATCCTCCAGCAATCACTGTCAATATGTTGAGGCAGAGCCAGTGACATCCTGGAGCAGTGCGGAGGATTTCAAGAATAATCTAGCCCTAAATTTATGCACGGCTGAGCTTAAACAACACAAGGTCCAGACCTTGACACAGTGCATCCTCCAAAATCAGCCACACATTATCGCAAAATCATCTATTAGGATTTTGGAGGATTTGGGAAGGTTATGGTTAATAACTGACGCATGGGCATTATACATGTAGTCAGCGATTATAGGTGTTTACAAAAAGTCATTACATGCAGTTAAAGCTATAGTCCATCATTTGCAGTCATCCGAAAGGTAACTGGCGTAATTATTGTTGAAAAACAAACTTGGTTCAAAGATAGTAAGGGGACTAAACTCCCTGTGAAATTATTCTTTCTGGCAAGCTGTCATTTTGAAGTAATCAACAAAAGAAGGCCTTTCCAACAGTGCGTCTTAAAATGCACCGTAGGAAAATTTAAATTAGTAGTTCGTTTTGTTATTCGGCGAAGCGGGCGCAAGCATTGGCACGATGCACACGCGCACGCAATTGCTATAATTCGTCGGATCAGTGCGCGACGTCGCGTATAGCTGCAATTCAAAACAATTCAAAACATGATTCAGTAACTTTTGATTTGAAAATGAGATCCTAGAATGCTGTTTTCCTCGGAATGTACAGCTGAAGCTTAGCTGAAACTTTATCAGGTTAGTTGTTCAGTATCCTTCATTAGATTTTGAACACTTTTGTTGCTTCAAACGAACAAAAATGCACAAATTACAAATGATGGACTGTAGCTTTAATGTACCTGAGGGAGGTCTTGCAAGTGCAGGCCTGACTGGTGCAGCAGCTGCACCTGGCTGTGGTGATGCACCAGATGGTCGACCAGCAGGCTGACCTGGGGCTGGCTGACCTGGGGAAGGCTGACCTAGGGAAGGCTGACCTGGGGAAGGCTGACCTGGGGAAGGCTGGACTAGGGAAGGCTGACCTGGTGATGGCTGGACTAGAGATGGCTGACCTGGGGATTTAGGAGCGCCACCTCTTGGCGGGATAGGAGGGAATCCTGGTAAGGCTGGGAGCTCTTCATAATCCACAGGCTTGCCAAGTCTTTCTTTCTTGATGGCATCCTGATAGTTCTGAATTGTCACACAATTGTATCAAATATTGAGCACAGTAAAAGGAATTATGAGAACAATCGTGTACTGGAAACCAGAGTCCTACTTCATATGATGTCACAAATTTTTGGATTTTCGCTAACCAAGTCTAAAAGAACCAAAGACTATGAAAAGTTCCTAAGGACGTTATTACAGTTATGCGCGCATTATAAAAACACTAGGTTGTTGTCTTGTATATTGATTTCCTTTACAATTTAAACGTTTCATAAAAATAATGTTCAGCAATCAACAACCTTTTCAATCCTATATTAAAAGATCATACGCTGTCTGTCTGATGTCTGTCTGATGTATGTCTGTCTGATGTCTGTCTGATGTCTATCTGTCTGTCTGTCTGTGTGTCACGTTTTGTTTGTAAAAGGTCTGAGGAGTGTGTGGAAATGCAAAATGCAAGGGTTCATTGAGAGGCTTAGTTATCTCATAAAGATCCATGGTTGTATATATATGCTCCGATTTCACTGTCCTCTGAAGTCACGGTTGGCACGAGAAAAAGATGATTTGTTTTGTTTTGCTATTTTGGCAAATTTGTTCTTTGACACTTTGAATTGTTAAATATTACAACATTATCTCTATGAAAACACTCCAAAAGGTATTGTTATTACGCAAAACATAACCCTGATGATGAAAAATTAGGCAAAATTGCTTCACCAAGGTTTACCACGCCCACTTGGGGTCAACATGCAAATTGAGGTCAAAGTAAACATTAGTAATATGACTCCACCCAGCTAGTGGGTACCGCGCGAAAATGGCATCCCGTTAGTTAACTTAATCAAGATAATCGACTCACGCTCCTGTACACTTACGCTTTTTAACTATCGTTCGACGTACACATGTGAATGCAGAAAACTTAAGTTTGATTGTGTGCACTGGATACAAGCTGACAACATAGTGCATTATCAATGTTCTTATTGGCTCATGCCCAACGATCAAACAATGCGCAACAGTTTCTCCTATTGGCTGAACGACACCATGTACTCTTATTTTTTTTTTAAGGATTTAATTTTCTGGCCTAAGGGATGGAAAGTAAAGTCTGTCACAAGGCAATGTGGCCCATCAGGCCGGTGTTTATCTACGGTTTCAGTAGCATGAAACGACTAGTCCCGGTTACTCCCCAGCTAATGCCAGTACCCATTTATACTCCTGGGTGGAGAGAGGCAAGTGGGGTGAAGTGGCTTGCCCAAGGACACAACATATGACCAGCAGCTGGATTCGAACCCCTGACCCTCTGATCATGAGTCACGAACCCTAACCACTAGGCCACACTCCCCACAAGAAATGGTAGGCCAGACTTTTTTCCCCGAAAACATGAAAAAGTTGAACTTTACAAATTGACTAGCGATGACTTGCCTTGACAATTCGTCCTAATCTCCGACATTTGCTAGCATTTCCTTCCGTAGTAGCTTTATCCAGCAGCGTCTTGTAACTATCATGGCGTAGTTGCAAGGCTTCTAGAGGAGTACTAGGCATTGGGGTATCTGTATCTGATGGTGTAGGGTCACTGTGACCCGCTGGTGACACGACATCGATGCTTGGTGCTTGCATCTTCTGCTGTTTGGGCGGCGGTACGGTTGGTGCCATATCTACATTAAGGAAAAATGTAGTTTCGTTAGAAGCTAGTCATTGTGTTAAAACGTAATTCCACACCCTGCATTCCTCGAACATACCACTGCTCGCTCACTGAGGTAAATTTAAGCCATTCATTGTGATAGAATAGTCACTTCAGGTTCTGACACTCACGCCGTATGTCCAAGCCTTATTCATCTTCCATTACCTACAGTATCTAACGTTAGTTTGCGTAATATCGACAGAGGCAGACCGCTCCACGAATCCTGATCCGCCGTTGATTTTCGACAAGTTTAAGGCCTACTTTGACGAGAAGTTTAATGCTATCTCTACACCGAAGGAGGATTCCACCTCCAAGTTTTACCTTGTAGAGTGGACGGTGATGGCGGCATACCAGTCAAATCCACTTCTTCTCCCTGCTCAATGGCGCTTATCACAGAGTCAAATTGCTGTGCATGGGAAAACAAACCATCACAGAAAACATAATGTATCCAATGTTAAAAAAGCGTTTCCACGAAATAAGGCATTTTTCGGCGTGAATTATAGGGGTGTCACTGAAGAGGCTACTACACGGATAGTGGACTGATGAACACACCTGGGATAGAACAAAAGCTTAAATACCTTTTTTAGAAATAAAAAAAGGATGAAACATTTAATTTTGATAGGGATTTCTTTTGTCATGATTTTGTACAGCCCTTTTTCAAGAGTGGAAGAGGCACACAGACCATCATAAGCACTCGGTTTTAGTAGTACATAAAAGTTACTGGTTTCACGTGTAACAGGGACACCGACATCTAAATATGGAAATTATCACTATTTTGTGCAATAAATCCATCTGAAAATGTCTGAATTTTATGGAATAATAAGAGGCATTTATTAGCTTATGAAATTTATAGAATTCAGACATTTTCAAAGAAAGCCAAAAGAGATATGGAACAAAAGGATATTATTTTCAATGGGGAGCGCCAATAAACCCCTAAAATCATTCACACTATATTAACTAATGCACCCTTGTCACAGCTATTTCTTCTTTAGGGGGAGACCGTTCGCATGTAAATCACAATCCTTCTTTTTGCTAATGCATTTTTTTTTTTTTTACGGAATTTATTTTGGGGGGGCTAGACAAAATTTTGGGGGGGCTACAGCCCCCCCTAGCCCCCCCGTAGAACCGCGCCTGTGCTTTACAGAATATATGAATTTTAGACATTTTCAATGTAAATCAACAGTTACGCGGTAAACAATGTTTTTTGTCATGTAAGAAGAAAATCAAGTCAGAATATGAACAATATTTAAAGTACTAAGTTCAACCAGTCCTACAAATTTAAACTGCAAAGGTTAAAGAAAATATTTTGCATCCAGACATCTATAACAATGTCACACTTTGGTACCCTTTATATATGGAATCCAGTGTTGTAGTCGAGTACTTTTTTCCGAGTATCGAGTACTGCCGAGTACTTAGGTTACCCAGTACGAGTACGAGTATTTGTACTTCCGAGTACAAGGACAGGTCTCCGAGTACGAGTACTTGTACTTCCGAGTACGAGTACGAGTACTTGTATTCGGAGTACGTGTACGAGTACGAGTACTTCTATTTCCGAATACGGCCATACCGCAAATGGGTCATTGTGCGTAATTGGCCCAGGCCCAGTCAGACCGATATTCAGACCCACTCACGGCTAGCTGTTGTCCGGACGTGCACAGAGGAAAATCAGGAAACTTCGATTTCTACGCAAGCCAATCAACCATTTCAAACGGAAAGTAGTGATAAAATAAGGCCGTGATAAGTTAAGCTATACCTTCTTTTTTTTAGTACTGCTATTCGAGTGCGAGTACTTTGATGATCGAGCAAAATTTTGACATGTCAAGAATGAGTACTTTGCTACCTGAGTACATTACCCTCATTTTGAGTATGAGTACTTTGACATTCGAGTACGAGTATGATACTCTAAAAAAAAAAGTACTCGAGTAGTATTATGAGTACTACAACACTGGGAATGACCCATATGTATTAGGTGTAAGAAAAAGAATACTGGATGCTCAAGACAGGCCCAGATGAACAGACAAAAACAGCAAACGTTTATTCCCACCTTGGCTACTTTAAGATGTTCGGCAGCCGTCTCCATGTTACCGGCCCGCTTAGCTTCAAGGGCGGCTATCTTGTACTCATGCTGCCTCTGTTTCAACAACGCCATTTCAGAATCTACGACATCGAAAGAAACAAAAAACAATCAAAAATCACGCTGGAACGACACAGAACTTTGTGCGTAAAAGTATTAAAACCAAAAAGCTTCCAGGACAGACCTGATACTGAGATTACACACACAATTTTAGGACCCAAAAAATTGTGGTTTTATTGTAACACCCTACAATTATCCAGGTAGGTACGTAGAACAAAATTGTATTTACAACTTTTTTTTTGTCCGTCAGTCTTTTATAATAACTGCTTACTTTTGGTCAAATTTGACGATGAAAAGTTTGAGATCGGCAATGTGCCCCCCCCAAAAAAAAGAAGGCAGGTCAGGTTACAGTAAACACATAACTCTTTCCACCTCAGGGGAGATTTAATTTGTAAACAAAACATTCACTATCTCCGAAATCTAAAAAAAGAAATTATCCGTCGTTTCAAACTGTATACATGTTTCTTCTTAACAATGTACAATATTTATAATAGTTGCTTTACAATCAAGCAGTAATATTGTATACTTTTATTCTATTTCATTGTGGTGTATTGTATTTGTAAAGTATTGTATTTGTGCATGCGTGTATAAACATTAGTAGTGTATGCAGGGCCCCAATGGAAACCAGTTTTAAACTGTTTGGGAATACCCTGGGTAAAGAAATGTAATGAATAAATAAATAAATAAATAAATCTGAAACTCATAAAAAAAAACTAGCCAAAGACTACCAGAAGACAATATTTTACAATTCAAAGAACTTTAGCAGAACACAAACAAATTTTGAGAAAATTGATCTGTGAAACAAGATCAAAATCAAAATTCAGGGGTTCTTCAATAAAGGAACTTACCCCCAACCCCTTTCGTGGAACGGTCCGTATGCTGAGTAACATTGTCACTGCTTGGTGGTTGGACTGTTTCATCCGTTGGAGGAGGGGGAGCCACTTCTGGTGGAGGCTTGGGTTTCCCCCCAGTGGCCACCATTGGCGGAATTTCCGATTCATCAATTTTCACGCCGCGTTGAACTTTCTTCTCCATATCTTTTAAATTCTGACAATTAAAAAAACAAAGGTTTAGGCTTAAAAAAAACAAGCTGTGGAACAACATTGTGCATTCAGAACAAATGCATGATCATAGAGCTATATTAAATTACTATAGCGCTAACTCGTTGTACAAATGATGCCTGCTGGGCGCATCCATGCTTGTGCACAAACCTATGGAAAACTCAACATTTAATACGGCTTTACTACCGCAATTTGCACATCTGTGTCTGTATTCTGCACCAATGCGTTATCAAAGCCAATACACCCAAAACCGAAACGCACAATCAGTAAATGAGCGTTTCATTTTGCCCTGCGCAATCTTACGCAAACGCATAGGCATATGCACTGCAGATGATTTTTTCCGTGCATTTTTTAACCGTCATACAGAAAACTCTCTATGACAGCACTAAACAGTAACCTCACCAAAATGGAACACACAGACACACATACAGTCGTGAATTTCTATACACCCGAGGACAATGCTTTGTGTTTCCCTTTGTCCCTGTAATATAACACTCTCCCATAGACCAAGCACATAACCGTACAATCGAGGACCGTTTCCAAAAAAAGACCCAACGCTCGAGGACTGAAACTATATTTTGTTCTCCCTTAGTGTGTCTGTCCTCTATCGTAAAGCGTATGGCCTACAGACAGACACACAGAAGGAATACACTTTTGCAAAATCCCCCTTTCTTGGCTTAAAAGCCAGGGAGATAAAAACTTGAACTAATTAGGCCAAGTTAACAAATAAACTAGTTTCTTATCCCCGCCAGCTTTCTTTTTCCCCATCTGCCTGCATTTATTTATAATTTTTAATTCATACATTTGCAACACATTTGCACATATATTGTCTTTTTATTTGTTTCCAACAACATTATAGCTATGTAAAAGGGTTCCAACTCCTTTGGACACAATTTTGTATCACCAAAAGAGTTGAGAAAATGGAAGAACCCATCCGCCATCTTGGGGGGGAAAATGCCCGCCTCCTTTATTTTTTCAAAGAGCCCGGACGAGAAACTATTCATATTTTTTCACTAAGATTACTTTTGCATGGCAGCAGCAAGGCCTTCAGAGTGGAGAAGTTTGCTTTGCAATAGTCTGGCTAAGGCTGCGGTAACTTCCATTGCCCATATGTACTAGCTAGCCAAAGCCAATTAAATTCAAACATGGCTACAAGTCCATTATATATCCTCACCTTGAGACCTCGCCCGTATCGTCGGGCCTTGGAGCTCTCGTTGCCTGCCTCGGCATTCTTCAGGGCCAACTGGTAATTCTCTATCCTCTCCTGAATGAGTGCTTTGACGTCACCTTCAGATTTCTTCTGTACATTCAACAATTGACCAATAAGAAAATGACTTTTAAGGTCAGCTTAGGCTATTAGCATAATGAGCACCACCCCAAAACCTCACATGGACGATTGAACCAAGGCGTTAGTCTAGAACCAAATGATTTGCATGTATAAATAGTGGCCGCATGAGGTCGCTGTTCGCACTGTATTTTTACATGATTAGTTAGCGCGCGGCGAGGATATTCCGCCGAACACCATACGGATGAATAATGACGAACGCCTTCACCAAGGCTAGTATCAAATTGGCCACATTTATGGAGCTAGAGTAGCCGCAATTTGATCAGGACATGTACTTACTTGAGGTGCAGGAGAGCCTGTTGGTGATGGTTGAGGAGAGGGTCTTGGAGATGCTCGAGGAGAAGGCTTAGGGGATGCTCTGGGGGAAGGTCTAGGAGAAGGCTTCAAGTTATCCATGTTGGCATCATCCTGAGACAGCAGGGCTAGCTCAGCCTACAAGACAACAAACGGAAGATTCCAATGGCAATTTCTTCCGAGTCACTGTCTTTTCTTTCATCAATTTGATTGACTTAAAGGCAAGTAAGGACAATAGCAATTACCCGCAAATGAAACTAGTAAAATAAGGAAATAAAATTATGATGGATTTGTGATGGACTTGTGATGGCTTATGATGGACATGTGATGGACTTGTGATGGCTTATGATGGACTTGTGAACACTTGTGATGGCATATAATGGACTTGTGATGACTTGTGATGGCTTATGATGGACTTGTGAGGACTTGTGATGGACTTGTGAAGACTTGTGAAGACTTGTGATGGCTCCTAACCCTATCCCTCCAGGGTATTTGGGCTAAAAACCCTGCCAAACACAGCAACATGCAACACTTGTCTAAGTGACAAGCCTGCCCAGTGCAGCAAGATCCATCAGGCAAAAGTCTCAAGGTCAAACTGCCTCAGAGTCTGTAGTCACCGAACACAGCAGGATACAACTGTGGCATTGTTCAATGGGGCTCTCATTGTTTCAGAGCTGGCCGTGTATGCACTGGTGTTGGTAGCTGAATGCATGAATGCACTGTGTTGCGTCTGGCAGGGTTAGGGTTAACCCTAACTGCACTGGATCCTTCAAATTCCTCTTTGCCAAAGTGGAGGAATTTGGAGGATTGAGGTTACATGGCAAAAGTGCAGTACTGATTTCGTAGGATGCACTTTGTCAAGGTCTTGGGCCGGACCTTGCGTTGTTTTTGCTCAGCCATGCATAAATATAGGCCTGGATTATGCTTGAAATCCCCCATACTGCTCCAGGATGTCACTGGGCAAGCCTCAACATATTGACAGTCACTGCCGCAGAATTTTGCAGGATTGAGGCAGTGGTCAGCCCTCCACGGACCATATTCAAGAAATAATGGAGGAATTTGCAGGATTGAGGCTATTATTCCATGAGGCCAATTGGAGGATTTTGCAGGATTGAGGCTACATCCTAGCAAAAGGCCTAGGGAGTTAGGGTTAAAGCAATGCCTAGATGCATTCCCAGCACAGGACAAGAAATGCAAATTGCAGAGGTTAAGAATTACCAAGTAATCTGGGTTATCCAGATCATCTTCAGTCACTTCGTCTTCTTCAATGACCTCCTTTGTCTCAACAGCCAGATCAGTCTTCCGAGGAGGTGGTGCTACAAGAGCAAAATAAATAGCATATGTTATTTTCTCATAATTTTCTAATTAATAGGCCTTCAAATTGGTAGAAAAACTGTAATTTGTTTAGTCAGGATTTGTTTCACTCTTCATATCAGCCACAACCCCCCCCCCCCCCCCCAATCCCGGAATGCTAGATCCTCATCTGTTGTTTACATCAATTCAGTGCTTCACCTCTGTTCCTAGCAAGGGGCCTTGATGGCCCAGCTGATCCGTCATCTGCCATCAACGCAGCCAGTTCAGCCTCTAATGCCGAGTCGTCTTCATCTACACCTGACTGAGGCATGCCTGCCAGGCTCCGCAGTTGGGACAAGTCAAACAGATCCGAATTCTGCAAAGTGAATCACAATGTTTTCATTGTTTAAGTGCACCGGATGGAAAAAATTGTCTAAGTGCCTGTTATTATTTACTAGAAGTGCCTTCAAGATTATATACCCAAGTCCATGGGTCCCAACTAAAGTTGGGGACCGTCCCACCTAAAGTGTTGAAGTTGGGCCAGCGCTGCTCAAAGCCGATGGTTTTGGGCACTGTCAGACAGCACGTGGTGCTATTCATTATGGGGTGTGTCATGTCATTATGTGTATTTGTCGACTGACACATGCTTTTGCTGAGAGGATGATGATTTTACCAACCAAAACAATTAATGGGGGTGTCGCATATAAGGGCAGGGTTTCAAATTTTGGAGGGAAATTCGGGGGTAAAATGACGATGACAACGACAAAATGCAACAGGAAAATAAAGATGGCAATCACCGCAATGTAGCCAGACTGCGTCTGGCCGTACAGTACTATCGCAAGCTCTGTAGTACAGGGCTTGCGATAGTATAGCCCCATAAATGTGGCCTATTTACTGGACTGCCTCCGTAAACATAGGCCACACATCCACATGTACAAAAACGTGTCGCACTTTGCCAAATTTTGATTTTCACATTTAGGCTTAGTTTGTAGGGTTTTTTTTGCTTTAGAAGCATACTCGCCCTCTTTATAGGCTAGTCAGAAAGTGCTGCCTTTTTCAGATGTCTAATTTTGGAGACCACTCACTTTAGCCCCACTAGTGTGGCCGTCGGTGTGCTGCGCTGAACCTTTGGCCACACACCGTGGTACCGCGCGCTACTGAGGACGAAGTTTTCATAAAAATTCAGGGCAGTTTCTTACATTCTCAGTTTCTTACTTTCTTATGGTTGTATTCTATGATGTCTCACCTGTCACTTCTGGGATGCTTAGGTCTAATGATGTTCCATTTTCCGAGATATTCTTCAATCTTTCTGGAGTCCATATGCACTCGTGAAACGTCTGGTGATGGCAGCCATTTTGAATGGGACAAGAGATGACCTCAAGCTGTGACGTCGCGTGTATGCAAATTGCTTGTCGAGCACGCGAGGGCGCGAGTTGCAAATGCGACGGCTGTTTCCTGTACCATGCATTTATCGTCAGGGGGCCACGTGCACCGATCTCTATTCAGGATCTACGGCACAGAAAACAGCCGTCGCATTTGCAACTCGCGCCCTCGCGCGCTCGACAAGCAATTTGCATAAACGCGACGTCACAGCTTGAGGTCATCTCTTGTCACATTCAAAATGGCTGCCACCACCAGACGTTTCACGAGTGCATATGGGCTCCAGAAAGATTGAAGAATATCTCGGAAAATGGAACATCATTAGACCTAAGCATCCCAGAAGTGACAGGTGAGACATCATAGAATACAACCATAAGAAAGTAAGAAACTGAGAATGTAAGAAACTGCCCTGAATTTTTATGAAAACTTCGTCCTCAGTAGCGCGCGGTACCACGGTGTGTGGCCAAAGGTTCAGCGCAGCATACCGACGGCCACACTAGTGGGGCTGTCAAGCCCCAACTATCGCATCGGTCCCAACTATAGTTGGGACTGTCCCAACTATAGTGCGGCAGTTGGGTCAGCCGAACTATAGTTAGGACTGGAGTTGCGCCGGATGCTTGATAGATCTTGTTGGATTAAATGTTCCGCGGCGCTGGCACCGTGTATTCGTCGTGCATGCATGCCGCAAGGCTGGCCGGTCACGTGGTACTGCCTAGTTGGATGAGTTGTCCAGCTGCTGGGTTGATTGTCCAGCAACATTTTGCAAAATACAAAGATTGCCATGGCCGGCCAACTATAGATGGGCCCCACCCATAGCTAATGTCAAAGGTCCCAAGTAAAGTCGGACAATATGTAACAGAGCTGTAGGGAATGTTTTATAGTCGTACATCAATGTAAACTATATAGTTGGGACCGCCAAATAAAAATATTGCGGTGGCCCAACTACAGATGTTCCCCACCCATAGATAATTTCATTGGTCCCAAGTAAAGTCAGATGTGTATTAGAGTTGTAGGGAATGTTTTATAATCGTACAACAATGTACACTATAGTTGGGACCGCAAAATAAAAAGATTGGAGTGGCCCAACTATAGATTCGCCCCATCAATAACTAATTTCAGTGGTCCCCAGTAAAGTCAGACGTGTATCAGAGCTGTAGGGAACGTTTTACAGTTGTACATCAATGTAAACTATAGTTGGGACACCGCAAAATAAAAAGATCAGAGTGGCCCAACTATAGATGGGCCAGCCCAACAGTGGAACTTACAGTTGGGACCGTCCCAACTATAGTTGGGACAGGCCCAACTATAGTTGGGCCAGCCCAACTGTGGAACTACAGTTGGGACAGGCCCAACTATAGTTGGGACAGGCCCAACTATAGTTGGGACCGATGCGATAGTTGGGGCGTGACAGCGCTACACTCACTTGTGTTTGTAATGCTGGCGGCTGCTTCGCATCATCGGCACCGCCCTTCTTCTTTTTTCCACCGCCAAACATGTTAGCATTCCCGCTATATGCCAACCAATTACACGGGAATTGTGCTTACTAATAGTAATACTATTTTAGTTTCTTTTCTCAAGTTTACTTTTTGGTTATTCCATCCCCAAAAGTTATGTTTTGGGAGCGTACATGACTCATTGACACTCGAAGATGATGATCTGATGATCAGGCTAGGCGCAGGCTGGGCTAGGCTAGGCACTGTTAATTGTGAAGAGCGCCACCAAGTGGTCGGTAGGAAGGCATGTAAAACAAGAAGTTGGGTTGTTTTTTGGAAAGTCCCGATGCTAATTTTCCTGACGAATCTGGATATTTCAGAACAGGTAATTCACACTTCTCTTCGTAAAATGGCAAATTAGACAAAAACCTCAAATAGGCAAAACTTAAAAGCAGCCAGGATATTATAGTTATAAGTTTAAGATGAAAATTAGTTGTCCCTTCATTGTCTTCATTTTTGTTTCCCCAACTGGTAGGCGTGGCCTCTAAAAGGGGGTCCCTCACATTACAATATGAAATTTTAAAATTGCATTGTAATTGTTTTGCCTTGACTGTCTGTAGTAACACTGTCAGCAAGCCAGGCCCAATGCAACGGTAGCTTTGAGGATTATTTTACAGACTGTAAAATGAGGGCAATTGTGTACTTTCTTTATGAATTATGCCTATGGGCCCCTCTTCATGACTGTCTTTTGTTTTTGTTTAGTAGTATTGTTGGTGTACCCTAACGTGGCGCGCCCCCTAACGTGGCGCGCCCCCTAACGTGGCGCACTTTGATTTTTCTCCTCTCTTGACGAAATGAACAATCCATTTTTCTTACAATTAACACTTAATAAAGGTCACACAATCCTTCGCAAATATACATACTAGATTCAAATTTCTGACGTCACGATTGCGCGTAGAAGGTCAAAGGTTACACAGAAAGCCAGACGATCCCATAGCAAAAAGTATCAAGATGCCGTCGACGTCCAGAAACAATGGCCAAAAAAAGGTAACAAGCAGACGTTTTCTTTTAATTCAAGATTCCAAAACAATTAAACTAATTAAAAAGTAATATTATTCGTCAACGTTATCAGTATTAATGAAAAGTAAGCAGAATAATCCGAAGTTTACTGGAAATTTACCGGAACGTAAAAATAGTGTCGTCTGCTCTAGGTTGTCATGACGTCATGTACGGTAGCCTGTAATAGACATATAAAGTGAATACAATTAGGCCTAGTTTTTATGTGGCTTGGCATCACCGGTACCGTGCGGGTGCACTTTTGATTAGATATTATAATCGAGTAAATGTAGCGGATATGCAAAACGTAGAGGTAATTGACATTATATGAATGTTGTTGAAATTGTTATGTATTTAAAACGTCTAGGATGCCTTTTAAATATCGTGTCAGAAATAAATGTATTATTGAAACACTGCTGATTTTTCTATTCTTGAGCTAGAGTTGTATATTTAATCATGTATTAAAGTTTAAAATAAATAAACTTGTAGTATATATATCGTTTGTTTGTTTATTTATTCATTTTTGTAGAGAGATCTTCGGCAGAATTCCATGCTTGCTGCCGTTCATTCTTTGGAAGTCAAGCGAAAAGATTCCTATCGACTGACGGCAAAAAAATTCAATTTGCCCGAGTCCACGCTGAGACGATGGGCAACAAATGGAGTACCTGCCGGGAAACCACAAGGTGGACGTACAACATTCTTCAAAGAATATGAAGAAAAGAAGCTGGCAGAACACATTTCATATGTGGGGCAAATGGGGTACTCCTATCTTGGAAGTCAAATCCGTGAGATCGCCGGCGAAATGGCCCGGATCTTGTGCAGCGAGGATCAAGAGCGCAAGTGCCGATTCACCGACTTCGTACCAGGACGGAACTGGTACTACGGCTTCCTCACAAGATGGAAGAATATCATAAGACCGAGGAGGCCAAGCAGACTGGATCACTTGAGGGCAGAAATGTCTAGGAGATCAATTTTAGAGGCGTACTTTGGGAAACTTCTAGAGGTTCTCGAGAAGTACAACCTGCGTGATTGTCCTGCCCAGATATACAACATCGATGAAACAGGAATCACGAGAGATCACAAGCCACCGAAATCTCTGGGGCCGAGCCAAGGAGCATTCAATGCTGTCTCGTGTGGACGGGGTCCAATACACACCATCATTGCCTGTGGGAATGCCATGGGAAATCGGCTCACGCCATACATCATCTTCAAGGGGGCAAGGGTTCGACAAGAGTGGACGGAGGGGACTTTGTCAGGGACAGGTTATAATGCCACAAAGACCGGCTGGAGCAACAGTGCTACCTTTCTCCCATGGTTCAAGGGTCACTTCCTACCACAAGTTGGGTCAGTTAGGCCGCTTCTTCTGCTGTATGATGGCCATTCTACCCACATCAGCGTGCAGATTATCGAAGAGGCCCGGTTGGAAGGAGTGCATTTATTCGTCATACCTCCACACACGTCCCACATCCTACAACCCCTTGACGTGGGCTGCTTTGCTCCTTTCAAGGCCACCTACAACAGAGCAGTTCACAATTGGCTCCACAAGTACAAGAACACAGGTCGCATTCTGGTCGAAGAAGACATCGCCTCGCTGGCATGCAAAGCTTACATGATGGGAATTAGCAGTGACAGTTTAGTATCATCCTTCAGATGCACTGGAATTTGCCCATTCAACCCTGACGTCGTGCTGAGCAAGCTCCCTGAGCAACCGGAGAGGGGAAGTTCTTCCATCGATGGTCTATTCGCCCCTATCGAGAAGTTTCCTTCATCTCCAGAAGTGTTCACCAGGCGACCAAAAGCAATCAGAAGTGCCCGAATGCTGACGGAGGAAGACGAATACCTCAAGGTTAAAAGTAAACAAGGAGGCCGCAAATCGAAGGAGCCGACTCCGCAAGCAGCAGACCTAGCACTAGCAGCAGACCTCTTGGCACCAACAGTAGACTACTTGGCACCAGCAGCAGACCACTTGGCAGCATCGTACGATGAGTCACCACCGATGTCCCCCATGCCTCCGCCATTGTCGCCGCTAATCACACCGTCAATGCCCATACCGACTATAGCGTCATCCGCCACGGAAGCACCCAAGTCCCCACCGCTGCGGGCCACGTGCACGGCGTCACTGCCGCAGTCGCAAGAGCCATCTACCAGCAGATGCTGCCGAAAGGCTTCTTCTCCCGACCCATCATCAGATGATGTGAGCGATGAGGACGACAACTGTGTTGTTTGCAACAGAAGATGGCCGAAAAATGTCAAGAAAACTGGAGGTCCAAAGATAATACTTTGGGCCCGATGCGACAAGTGCTACAGCTGGGTTCACGCTCGAAGAAGAATTTCTGTGTCCCATTTGCAGCGTTGGAACGAGGAAAAGGGAACTATAAATAACATGCACACGGTCACAAATATATGAACAATATGTTTTAATAACTTCAGCGTACGTGGGGATATGTATTATTTTTTTTACTTTCCAGTATCGGTGGCAGAGTTAACCTGTTAACTTTCATATGCCTAACTGTTTTTTAACCTGTCAACTTTCGTAACTGTTTTTCTTTATTCGATTTTGGTAGCTGGCAAAAGTGTATTGTTTGTCTGTATTGTCATTTGTTGGTATTGTAGGCCCTACTTCTTTTTAAAAAACATTTATTCAAGTTACTGGATATTTTTATTTTTATTTTTTTTACAATATTGGACGAGCGTACGTTTTTGTAACTGTTTATTTTTTTCTAAAAATCAATGTGGCCTGACGTTGCAAGTTCTTTTTCAGAGGCTAAAACAGAAATGACCATGTTTATTTTTTTATTTAGGGGTCATGTCTTTTTGCATTGCTATATTTTCTGATTTCGAGGTTTAAGAGATTTGCTTTACTTTTCAACTGTTTTTAATGTTGTAGCAGTTTGTAAACTTGTAAACACCTAAAGATCCATATTGTTTCCTGCATAACATAAAATGCAATAAAATGAAACTTTTTTTTCACGGCAAATTGTTGTCAGGGCAAATGATCGTCATAGGCCACCGTAGCATGGTACCAAACCATTTCAGCCAATCAGCGGCGTGCACCACGTTAGGGGACAGTTCGACAGTTTTGCGTAAGTAACTTCTTGACAATTCTGTCGTACTCTCTGAATTTTTTTGTCATTTGTACTAAACCAAAATGAATGACAGATAGTTTTTCTGGAGGGTGTTCAATCCGGCACTAACGTGTGTAAGTCTGAACAGAATCGGCTCTTGGATTTTGAAGCAATTTGAACGGATGTCCAGTGAGTTGTCGAAGTGCGCCACGTTAGAGTACACCACCATATGCTTATCATACTCCTGGTAATCCTTACTTTTAGGACACCTCTATTTTTTACGAGTTCTGTTCAAAACTGACTTTCGCAGATGACTGTCCAGTGCCAATGTGACTTTTGCAGGCTAAAGCAGTCTTTTTTCTTCATATAAACTCATGTTAGTTGTAATTTTGAAAGCACTTTCAAAGAAAATGTGACTTTCCTACCTTTTTTCGCAGTCAGACGTGCATGTTGTAGTTCTCACACGCGTGAAAGCCCTACATAATGAAAGCCCGATGCTGATTGGCTGCTAAAAAAAATAAATAAGATGTTTATTTTTTATCAGCCAATCAGCATCGAGCTTTCATCGCATTGAGCTTTGAGGTTTGCCATCTTGGTTTTTGAGTCTGTTTTCTGGTTGTCATCGTCGTCTTTTACCCCTGAATTTCCTTCATAAATCAAAGCCCTGCCCTCTTTCCACAAAATTAACCCTGCTGATATTCAAGAAGGTGTCATTGCCAATTGTTCAGATGTGCCAAGAAATATCAGAATGTCAATTTTGAGTGTCATTTAGTCAACTGTTTTGGTGAGTCTTTCCCTTATAGGAACGGGGTCCTAAAAGTAAGGATTACCATACTCCTTTTGGTAGAATATGAGGTGGCGATTGTGTGATTGTGAACTACGGGCCCCTCTTTATTTTGGTCAGTTTACATGATTTAGAGTCGAGAGTATTGTTTATCATTCTACCCTATGATGTTCTAAAATGAAGTTTGAAAGCAGACTTTTCTTTAGCTTGAGTAACTCCCAGCTTAACAAGCTCATCAGGAATTCA